CTGTAGCCCTGAAGAACGCACGCATGAGGTCCTCATTCATGGCTCTTGTCCACCTCATGCGACGTGTACCACCAGTGGCGGGCACCGATTGCTGGGCCTGTGACGGCCCTGCCGGCGCCAAGCCAGCTGATGTCGATGGCGAGGGGTCGGACCGGCCAGGTGGTGGGGCCGGTCGGCTGGCTCGCATTCTGCCGCGCCTACCGCCAGTTGTAGACGCGCCCCGGCGACCCCCGGGCAGCGACCCTATACTCTCTCCGTTTTATTATTATTATTATTATTATTATTACTATGTGTTATAATGCAATATGCTGTTGGTGTTCCTTTAAATAAATAAATAATCAGTAGTGGCGAAGATATACTGCTTAATAAAATACAGCTATTAATTTAAATTGGTTTATTAATATATATCATGCCTTATAATATTATAAATACATACACATAAATATTATATATATTAAATATACATATTAATACAATGATAAATGTTGTGATAAATCTATTCAATTATCAACTATTAGTCGAACGTAGTTAAAGCTGAAGCTGTTGATTCAATAGATAATTCAATAATTTTCTTTTAAATACAAGCTTGCTTGGTGCCCTGCAGGTATTCCACACTTACGACAATAACTGTGAACAGATTGGGTGTAAATCCAAAATGATATGATGATGTTGTGAGATGAACGGACTTATAGAAATACAAGTATTATCTGCCCTTAAGGATGTAAGTGGTAACAAATAAATTTACATTTATATATTTGTAGTACTGGTAGTAATTAGTGGTAACATGAAATAATAGAGCACTTTCAAAATTAAAAGTACATTTATAAAAATTTACGCCGAAATACTATCATTTCCTGAGAACTGGAAACTTAACTTTTAACTTGTTTAAAAAAAATATCAATTTTGTTAAAAAAAATCACCTTCATCTCCAGTTATTTTATTTTAAAAATGAAAATACCTACTGAACTGAAATTTTAATGAAATGTAAGTGTGTAATTTCAAACAAAAAAAAAAGAATTTTCCAAATCGACTTATGGACGATAGACTTATGGACGATGGAGCTCTGAGGCAACAAACATAAAAAAAAAACAAACGAATTGAGAAGAACTACTTTATTTGAAATATATTGATTATAAAATCTTATATGTAAAAAAATTACATATTTCGTATCTTGTAAGATTTCCTAGTTTACAACATTTCAATTTTTTAGTTCATTCTTTAAAAATATATATATATAAATTGGCGGGACACCAGAGAGGGATGATGTAAAAATGAAAGCCTATTAGTTGGCCAGAAATGGAATCGCTGGTTAATTGATAAAAATTATAACTGTAACTATACTTTGCTTACTATCAGGTGAGCCGTATGCTTGTTTGCCACTGCGGTGGTATAAAAAAATAATATTTTGTTTAATACCACTACCTACTATCAGTATATGCGCCGCTGCCAACATTTAAAGATTGACTACTATTATTATCAGTAAGAGGAATTAAATTCACCGGAAAATGTATTAGTAGTAATGGGGAATCCAGTCTCCATTACTATTAATTCCCTCCCTATGTTTCTTACAAGCTTAAGATAAAAAATAACAATACATATAATAGCTAGTTATAGTATTATGTATTATTAGTTAAAAAGTGAATATTCAACTTGGAAGGACTATCCTGTATATTAGAAGGAAGTCTGTTCCACAGTTTTTTTTTTTTTTTATGCATGATAATGGAATGGTAACCCCGCCTGCACTATCGGTATACACTGGCGGAACACCAGTGAGGGATGATAGGTGAAGATGAAAGCAGGCTAGTTAACCCATCCTGGCGAATATCACAAGAATTAACCATGATGGTTTCCAGGGGGAACCGCTTGGAGGTCAACCTGATAGGGGTATATTGCTAGCAATAGAGCTGTTAGACCCCATTACTAACAATCCCTTTTCCCCCCTCTGTTCCACAGTTGCGCAGCGTTGACTGAGAAAGAGTTTCCAAATAATGGGTCTTACAAGTAGGGAGCTCGTCTGGCATGTGAAAGAGGGGACAGGATTGAAAGGTAAGAGCTGGAATAATTAAGTGTATTATAAAAAGTGAAGAGAATGTGCATATCACGTCGAAGTTGGACTGAGAGCCATTTAGCTGAGCGCGAAATGCGGAAACATGATCATACTTACGTAAAACGAAGACAATTCTGATAGATAAATTTTGAAAGCGCTCAAGTTTGTTCAATAGCTCCTGAGCTAACATTATTAAGCACCTGCGATTTTTTTTTAAATGGATCACAATAGAGTTTTACGAGACACGATGTAACGCCGGTTTTACTCTCGGTATGACCAGTAGAAACAGTTCGAGATTGATCGGAATGAAACTTAATTATAATGTGAAAACACACTTAGCAATATTTTTAAAATAGCAAAGATTTATGTGTTTATTTTGTTAACCCTACGTGTCAAAAATGTTTAAGTAATGATAATATGATTTCTTTATTCTCAAAAATGGATGGTTTTGTTAAAATCTGAGCATTATTATTGACAATGTTGCTGTAGTTTTCAATAATATTGTTTAATTTAGTATTGTATTGTTTAATTTGTTTAATTTTATTTTTCATTCGCTTGTATTACATTTGTGCAAACTACAGTGGTTGTCAAATTACTATTTAAGTGTATAACTATGTATTGTTCTAGCTGTCTGTTTGCTTTTAATTAATAAATAAAATAAATTACATCTTTAAAAATGGCCAGAGTCTGTGTGTGCATTGTCCGAGTATCCAGTGTCTAATACCCGAGCATTGAGTGTTCGTAAGTCGAATTGTCTGGTGTCCACACCAGAATGAAAACGGAGTTTTTAACTATGCGCAAAAGCCATATCTAAAGCGGGAAAGTAATAGTAACGGAGTCTGACAACCCCATTGTGGATTAGGCTACTAAATGCCATTACCATTGCCAGCAACACACCTTGTCAGGTTGACCTCCTCGTGGTTCTCCCTGGAAACCATCGTGTTCTATTCCAAGTAAGCATCACAATGGACTAACTGACCTCTTCATTCTCACCTGTTATCCCTCACTGATACTCTGTCAGCGTATACTGTTAATGCAAGCGAAATTACCATTCTAATATCATGCATTAATAAAACAGCCCCATTGGCTAACCTCCACGCGGTTCCTCCTGGAAACTATAGTGGTAAATGTTTGTGAAATTCATTACTATGAGCCAATTGACCTGCATTCCTCCTCAGGTATCATTTCTCACTGGTGCTCCGCCAGCGTACTTCATTAGCGCATGCGGAGACACCATCTCATTTTCGAAATTAAAAAAAATGTGCCTAAATGGACATAATATACCTATTTCAAGAGGCCAGGACCGCCCCTGGCAACAAAATTTAAATACCCCATTGTCTATTTCGGATCCATCAAATATAAAAAAAACCTCAATATCAAATATTATTATGATAATTATTATAATTCTAGCATTCCATTCGTATATGATCAAAAACACAATTTTGCTGATATTACTTTTGTAGGCGTTTTACATAATACATGCGATTAGATCATTTCTATTTATTTAATAATTTCATGAATATCCTTCTAATAATATTTGCAAATTGTTAAAATAGAGTATAAATATTTTTTTTATTTTAATATAAAGTTATTGGAAAAATAAATTAAATTGTATTATTGTAACAATATTGGTCTTATCCTAAATATTTATTTACAAATAACAAGAAAAAGTAATTAAAAATTTTAAAAATTATTTATTTAATTATTATATTAATTTTAATAATTTGCAAATTAAATAAAATTTCATAAATATTACCATAAAGTTCAAATTTAAGTTTAAAATTGATATTTTACCGGTTCGTAGGTCTGTAATGATATCTGTCAATAATTACACATGTCATTCCGAAGTTGTCATTCATATGTCATTCGATAACTAAGCTTGCTGAAATGACATCACGCCATTAGTTGATAACATTTTTAGCTATTTGGTTTGTTTATTTACATTTCTTCATACGTATAAGTCAACACTTTAAACGACTATTATATAAGTACATAAAATATCATTCATCATTATCACCTTCTCAGTCATTATTTGTCCACTGCTTAACATAGGCCTCCTCCCTAGACTGTCATAAAGAATGGTCCTGAGCCACCGAGTGCAGAGTTTGTGGTTGCAACAAACTCTCTGCAATGCACTTAAGGTCGACACACCATCCAGTGGGGGACCATCCTACACTGCGTTTGCCCATACGGGGTCGCCACTCAAGAATCCATCTTTCTCATCGCTCGTCGGTTCTTGACTGGCTGCAGTGACCAGCCCATTGCCACTTCAACTTGCTTATCCTTCGAGCTATGTCGGAAATGAGAATATCCGCAAAAGTATTAAAGTAACCAACATAACCCAAAGTATAAGTAAAATAAAATTACTTATAAAATTATGAATTGCTAAATAATTTAACTCTTTCACTCTAAGCATTCTGATATGGTCCATAACTGAAACTTAATCTACGGTTTTTACAAAATATTTAAACGTGAAAAAAATTATTTCAGTTCCAAAAACGACCAAATGCGAATGTCTTTTGTTGAAAATTACTAAAATATCAACAACAACCCTCGTGACATACAAAATTCAGATACATACCTTATTTCCTAGCTGGTATATTTAAATTTTATAAAAAGAAAGATTGTATTTATTTGTTTGTTTTTATTGTATTTATATTGTTTGTTTACTGATTTTTTTTGTGTCATAATCAGAAAAAATCTTTAATATCAAACTGTTTTTGTGTAAATTAAGTAACTACGTATGTAAGAATCATACTATACATAAAAAATTTCTAAGTCTAGCGTATTTGAAAATGTAATTATGTAAATAATGTAGATTATAAATGTAATTCATGTAAATTTGATTAAAAGACACACCAACAAAGTTTACTTAATTATGCTAGGAAAAAACAAATTACTTAATTTCCTCGTTTTGTTTACAAAATGTTACTGACCACTGGCTTACGTCACTGGTAGTCACTACTAGAAAACTTGAATGTATCTTATTATTACGTACAAATGTTAGGTATAAAGTTTGGAGTCTTGAATATCCTTCTTTGTGAATCAACCTTGAATTTACATTAGACTATTTTTATGAATCAAATCGTAGTGCAACTTTTAATACATTTTCTGAACTTGTATTCGACAGTATGAAACACAGAGAATAGAAATAGTAATTCATTCGCAGTGACGAAAACTTAGTAAGTACAGATTTCACTAAATAATAAACCGTAGTAACAAAAACCTTGGCAAATAGCCTTGTTCATTGATGCATGCATCTCCGAAACCTCTGGCGTCCGATGTAACACCTAAAAACTGTCTGTCGCGAGTGTTGTGTCCCAACTGAAAATAGCTGTAAACGTTATCGCCTTATCAAAAGATTATTATGTGCACAAGTGTTCAGTTGATACAACGTAATGGGCAAACCATTAAGTATCAAAATACTGATGGTTACGGAGCAATTCAAAGGAGATACACAGAAAAACGTATGGAGCGTAACGAGTTGACATTAAGTTTCCATAATTTAATCAAACGAGGTAGTACTTGTGTTTAAAAGTGTTTATTACTGTGACTAGTGTTTTGTGTGTGTTACATATGTTATTTGGAAGGGTATCAACATCAGGTGTACTTCATCTTTGTCTATCAGCTATACCATAATAAAAAAATTCATTGTCTAAAATTTGCCATTATCTGAAATTAATCAAGGTATTCTGTTGCTGGCTGAATTAAGTACTATTTTTTTAAAAGTTCTACTTTGAAATATGAATAAAAAAAGAACACATATTTCTTTATTTAAATTTAAAATCATGTTCTAAATTGCTACATGCCTGAAGTGATTTTTAATTGACATATTTATATAGACTTTTACTTACTATTTATAAATCATACAATATATTTAATAGTGGATATGAGTTTCAATATAGTTAATAAAATTTTAGTTGCTTATCACCTATGTGATAATAGGAATTCTTATGCAAAATTAATAAATTTTTTGCTGTTTAATCACAGAGTTTTATGAAATTCATAGACAAATCTTTGTAAACCCATATATTCCTACTTAGTCTTAAATGTTTATTTTGATTTTATAATTTGAGAATTTTGAATTACTTTTTTGACACTACCATAAAGTAGATTCAGCTCTGTTCTCTTATTTTACTTTTCAACCGACTGAAAACAAAGGAGGTAGTCAATTAAGGTTATATTTATTATGCTTGTTACTGAATAACATTTTTAGTTCTGAAACAATTTGAAAAATTCTTTTTTTTTTCATCTAACAGGATATACTTACAGATTGAGCCCATAGAAATTTCACCAAAGTCTTTTCAGTAGATTAGTTTTGAAATGAAAGTAAAGTAGTAGTAGTATGGTTTTGCCCCAATTGAAGTCTTTTTTTTTTCTGAAACACAGTCTTTAAATATGGTGGAGGAATTTTTCATTTTTTAAATGTAAAACATACATTTAAAGTATTGCTAGCATTTACGTATGACTTTGTCCACATGGCCAGGATATATTGATTCACTGGGATAAATAGTAACATATATTCTTCTCCCTCTCAAATTTATTTATTTATTTTATTCTTTATTGCTCAATAAAACTATGTACAAGTGGCGAGTTTAATGCCGTATGGCATTCTCTACCAGCTAACCATTTGGTGAAAACAGAAAGCGTATTAAAGGCACATGTGGTGAAAAATATGTGACATAATTATAGTAACATACTGAATTGTATGTGTATACTAAATTTAATGTAAATTTTTTGAATTGGTTAATTGCTAAATGATCCCAAATAAATAAAATTACTATACTTTCATGTTTATAACTAGATTTTTGCCCACTATTTCAAAATTAATAAAATAAATCAGTTCTTCTTGACATCTATCTATACTTATAATAAATCTGTAGAGAGGTCAATTCTGTACATGAAATATATTTCCAAAATAACTATCAGGGGGTGATTAGTGATTGATACTGATGCCAAAAATGCAATCAGTAAAATTTCTGTCTGTCTGCATATTCGTCATAGAAACAAAAAGTACTAGACGGATTTTAACGAAACTTGGTACAATAATTCTTCATACTCCTGGGCAGGTTATAGTATACTTTTCATCACTCTATGATCAATAGGAGCAGAGCAGTGAAGGGAAATGTTGGGAAAATAGGAGAAGTTACTCCATTTTTAAGCTTCCGTCGCGTGTGCAGCCTTAATGGCCACTTTTTAAAATTTTAAAAATGTCCACCTGTGCGAAGCTGGGACGGGCTGCTAGTGTCAAAATAAAATATACTGTATACTAATTTCTAAGTTACACCCTCAGGATTATAACTCAGGAAAACCACATTCATTTTGGTGCAATATTTTTTTGCATAATGCTGGAACAAACAGACAAAATTTCTAAACATTATTCTTTCAGCTTCGATCGCTCATAATAAAATCCCTTTTTTATATTTCCATGTACAGACATCTACTTAAAATTTTATTATAATAGAATGATATTAATAAGGAAGATATAGATTTTCTCTTAGATCTTAGATCCCAGGAAGCTTCTGTGCTTCTGAGCGGAGCTAGGTTGGCTGTACTAGCCACGACTCATATGCACAATGGCCCAAATGAGAGACTAAGCGCGGAAAATAGAGTCCTATTTACATTACATTACAAGGAAGATAGAATATTCTCAATAGATTACAAGTAACTCTCTGTCAATACTACTAACATATTTTGTCTATTTGCATTTTAGTTGTTTTAATTTTCGTTTTTTCTTTTATATAAATAATGTATTTATTAAATATTTATTTAATGATAAAATAAACAACATTGGTTAATATTATAAACTAGTGACTAATTAGGTCATTAGTAGTATGTACATTAAAAATTAATAATTTTTTTTTTTTTAAATTGTGTTAAAAAAAACTGACTTTAAATGTAGAAAAACCAGTTCTTTTGATTTAAAAAGTAAGTTCTTTCAGAAAAAAAAGTCTAATCAGTTTACAAAAGACAAAGTTGTGAGGTTTTAAAAAACAAATATAGCCGAATTAAGAACCTTTTTTTTTAAATTAGTTGAAAAATAAATTATTGTCTGTTGTTAATTTTTTTTTAATTATTAATATGTTCTTTATAGCTGTTTTTTAGTAATTTTGTGACAATAATAATTGCTTAATTACTTAATAAACATTTCAATCAAATTATCAATTCCATTTAATAGATGAACAACTCTACGGATACACAAATCACGCTATGGAGACACCCACTCCGACCAACTCTCCTGGGGACTGTCTCCAAGGGATCTTCCAGCCTCTGGACTCTTTGAATCCAGGTTTAGACTCTGACTTTGATGAGAGTCTAGCTATACCGGAGTCTATAATAGACATAGAGAAAACTAAAGAGGAACCTGATTCTGGTAAGTGCTTATAATTAAAAAAAATATTATGCATTATTATATTTATAATCAAATAATATATATTTATAACAGAAGGAGGGGGGTCTCTAACAGTTAGTGGTAGATTTCCTGTTTTAAATAGGCAAGGTCACGGGTCCCATCTACTATAAAGTAAATCTATTATATATATAAATTTTATCATTAAAATCACTTTTTTTTTAAACTTAATCTTGCTGGTTACTCTGTCATAGATTGTTATTTGCTGTTCTATCACAGTTAATTGTTTGATATAGTAATATTTTTGTATATATTTATTATGTGTATATATTTGTTTATATATTATATTTATTTAATTTATTACATTAGTCTAATTATGTGTTTATATTATATGAATATATCAAATATTGGTTTATTTTTCCTCTATTCAATAATGCACTGCCTACTTATTTCTCGGTATTGTCCAATTGCCCAACGCAAAATGTACATAGAATTTTACTGTGCATTAAATTTTAAATCAATGATTAAATAAATTAATAAACATTATATGTATAATATATGAAGTATGATACTTTATTTAAACTAATGAACGTGCTCAATTTAAAGAACCTTATCTTTCTTATTTATATTTAGAGATTTATGTTAATTAGGATTAATGAAATATAAATATGAAATGGATAATGAAATATGAAATGCCCCAGCCTACCTTCTGGTAATAATCTACGCTTATAATAAATAAATGTTTGTTTAATCTTAATAATAAAACATTGCCCTTTTTGATAAACAGAAATAGTCATAATTCAGATAAGCCATTGTCCGATATATATCTGGTTTATTTTGTATATGAATGTGGAAAATAATAGTCTTATCACGATAGCGACTGTGTTACTCGCGAGTTCACTTGCTGTATTATTATTTGTGAGTCTGTTTAAATTATCATGTAACCGTAACTGCCAGGAAATACTCATTTACAGAACAAGTACGAGTTCCTTGAGGATTCTCTACTTTATCGTCAGTTGGACATATTACTTTAGGTATTTGAATTCCCAGGTTCAATTCTGGATTGGGTCAATTTTACTAATACATATCATAAATAATTAGACAATGTCTATACATGGGAGATATTTAAGAAAAATTTATATCGGAGGTCTGAATAAGACCAATAGAGGCTAAAACAATAATTTTTAGAATTTGTATCTGTGTGTGTGTCTGTCTTTCTCTTTGTCTGTTTGTCTATTTGTTCCGGCATCACGTAAAAACTACTGCATCAAATTAGATGCGATTTTCGCAGCTATATATTTCTGAAGGTGTGATTTAAAATTTGATATTTATTTATTATCAACCGAAACATGGTCCTACACGATTGCCCGTATGCAAAAGCTTCAAGTTAATTAGCGAGCTATGGAAAGGGCTGTGCTCGGAGTCTCTTTGCGTGATAGAATCCGAAACGAGGATATCCGCAAAAGAACCAAAATAACCGACATAGCCCGAAGGATAAGCAAGCTAAAGTGGCAATGGGCTGGTCACATAACTCGAAGAATCGACAACCGATGGGGAAGAAAGTGTAGGACGACCCCCCACTAGATGGAGCGATCTGAATTGCATTGTAGAGAGTCAGTGGGTGCAGTAAGCCACCTGCACTGTGACCGTTTTTTATGGCAGTCTATAGCGGAAGCTTATGTCCAGCAGTGGACGGGTAATGGCTAAAATGATGATGATGATAATGATTTATTTATTTATATTTTTGATCACATTAAAACATGTCTACAGAACGGACTTAATGGTATGTGCTTTTGTTTATTTATTACATCCACTTTATCTTGATATGCCAACTAATTGGTTTCCTTACTCCTGAAACCACACGTACGAAGGAGCGATCAAAAAAATTGGTTGTTATTGTAGCAGTACGAATGTTTTCAATCAAATATGAAGGTATCATCGAAAGAAATAGTTTATAGAAAATATTATGTAACTTTCATAGTGTTATCACGATTGTTCGCTGCAGTTTATTATATCGTTTTTATCGTAATTAAATTAATTAATAGTTAATTAAATGTTTTTCACTATAATTATATAAAATAAATAGTCGTTTTTCTGCCCTTAAGGTCGCAATTAACTTAAGGTTCTTCGGATGGAAAACATTGTTGACGCTGAAAAAAAACTCTGCGTCCTTTTTTAAGTGACTTTCAAAAAGAGGAATTTTTCGATTCATCGGATATTTTTGTGCTATGAGCACAACACGGCCATATCACGAATTCTGAATTGATTTTATTATGTCCTCAAATTTACAAGGTTTACATCAATATATTTTTACCCTGTGGTCCCAGCATAGAATGTGCGACCCCTTCTTTTCCCGTGAGTGGCATTAAAGGCGACTAAGGTAACTTAATATTCGAGGGATGGGCAGCAGCGTTCTCCCTAATACATCAACAAACCCTAATTGCGGTTGTCAGCCCACCTGCTAAGTGTGGCAACTACTAGTAAAATTTCCCTTGTGGAGAAGACCTATCTTCAGCAGAGATAGGAAAATTCTTCCTATATTGACTTTGTGACGTCAATCGTCACTGCTAACGTTTTTATTTGCTAGCAAATCCTACTTGTAAACACATACACATGATAAAGTCTCGAAATATAAATTTTACTACTTGTACCAGCAACTATGCGACTATGCGTGGATTTTGGAATTGGATAATCACTTCCAGATGGCATGTCAAGATGGTGATATTTTAAAAGAGACATTGCTGGCTATCCCTCGGCCATTAGTTGCCTCTTACGACACTCACAGGACGGGTAGGGCTGGCCCATTCTGTAAAGGGTCACAGTGAAAAATAATATTCTTTAAAGCAACAATATATACATATATTGTGCAAGACGCACCATTTAAGTTTCTTTTTTATTTTCATTTTATTAAAAAGATGTTTTGTTTGTAGTTTGAAGTCTGTGTCAGTTTAAGTTTTGTTTCGTTCCCTTTTTTGCTCCCTTGGTTTGCTTTGTATATTTTATATAATTATATTATCTTTCTAAAAACACCGTGTTTCTATACCAGCATACAGTCGTTTTCGCCCACATATATAATATAATACGTGTAGATACAAGACAAGACAACCATTTGAATAGAAACAAATAAACATATTAAAAAATAATATTAACTTTCTTTCTTATATATATATATATATATATATATATATATATATATATATATATATATATATATATATATATATATATATATATACAAAGAAGTTTCAATACATTCTTTGCCGGGACCACACGTCGATAATAATATTATTTATTAATTTTGCAGATGATTAATTAATTTTTATTTATGTAACAGTAATAAAAAATTATTAAGCATATTTTAACATATTATGCTGTCTTTTGGCTAACACGAGATATGAAGTGACAAGTGCGGGACAAAAACAAACATAGTGATTTCGTAGATAACGTATCAACAATCACACTGATTTGTTTCCCAAAATGTAGGTTAATCATTAAAACATCAGACTAGTACAAAACCCTCCATTGCTGACCTTTACCATGTGGTAAATTGAATTACAAAGTCATTGCTGACAAATTATATTAATTGGTTCCCATTTTCTTAATATGGTAGCTGCATCCTACGGCTGTTCCTGCATGAATTAGTACATAAAGTAACCTATGTGCTAAGTTAAGCTATAACCTACCCGTATACCAAATTTCATTCAAATCTTCACTAGTTTTTGCGTGAAAAAGTAACAAACATCCAATCATCCAATATTAACAGAGGGAGACTTTGTACAAAAGTCGATTGCTTGGGTACCTCTATCCCATTCGTGTTTCAACCGTGAAACAGTTGTTTGCATGGCTGTGTTTCGGTTTGAAGAGTGGGATATGGCGTGAATTTACTGGGTACAGAGGAATAACACCTGAGTCCTCAGGAATGGCAGCGCATGGGGGGTATCATGGGCGAAACAGTATACTTTGTTATGTCCATGGTACTGCTTATGTCTATAGGCGACGGTTACCACTTTCCATCAGGTGGACCGTCAGCTTGTTTGCCATTCTAAGCTGTATAAAAAAAAAAATCTAACTTTATAAACTTACACATTTATAATATTAAATAGAATATAACACAGAAATAAAATTGATTTATATTTTTATTTTATTTTTATTGCTGGTATTTACTGGCAACAGTAACCGTTTACCATCATACGGACAGTATGTTTGTATGCCACCGTTGTGTTATAAAAATAAAATGTCAATAAATTATTTATGAAATTCGTTCACGCGTCACTCGTTTCAGCCCTGACATACATGCTAATATAACTGTATACCTTTGTCTTCTAACAGCCCTACAAATAGATACTCATTCCGATTAAGTACTTTATCATGATGTGATGACTCACTGATAGATAATGAAACTGTGATAACTCTCTGCTTACTTGTTCTATCATAGTAGTTATGTGTCACCGCCAGAGGAATGTGTCATTGCGTAATATTGCAACATATGGAAGCTATGGGTGGTCAAATGCTACTCTATATCAATAATAATACAGTTCATTTTGTCATTTACTATATTTCACCCGCAGCTTTGAGATACATTGAATGACCGTGAAGGGTGATAGATGAGAATGAAAACAGGCCAGTTAGCCCATCATGATGAATTCATCAGGAATTAACCATGATAGTATCCAGGGAGAAGTGCGAGGAGGTGGTCGATCTAGTTGGGTATATTGCTAGCAATGGGATTCTCAGTCTCCATTACTAACAATCCCTTTCCCCCTATGAAGAGGGCTATGCTCGGAGTTTCTTTAAGTGACAGATTGTGAAATGAGGATATCCGCAAAAGAACCAAAGTCACCGATATAACTCGAAGGATAAGCAAGTCAAAGTGGCAATGGGCTGGTCACATAGCTCGAAGAACTGACAATTGACGGGGAAGAAAATATGGGGGGAATCCTACATTACGAGAGTTAATAACACAAGTAATGCCTATGATATCGCAATGAGTTGTATTGGCTCTAGCTGCTTATCATCAGACGTAGTGTATATTTGGTATTTTCCCTGTCACCATATAATATAACCTAAACTATGTCAGAGGGGTTGGGGAGGGATTGTTAATAAGGGCCCCATTGCTAGCAACATACCCAACCAGGTCGACCTCCACGTGGCCCCCCCTGGAAACCATCGTGCTGAATTCCAAGTGTATTCATCACGATGGGCTAACTGACCTGTCTTTTCATCCTCACCTATCATCACTCACTGGTGCCCTGCCAGTGAATACCAATAGCGCAGGCGGGGTTTACTATTCCATTATCGTCCATTAAAAGAAAAACCCACGTCAGAAGCGTTCTTGTATATAAAGAAGTCGGCCTGAAACTTTACACCAGAGGGCTCCACTGTCACACCAATAATAATAAAAGCTTACATTAGTCAATCTCTTACTAATATCTGTTTTCTCTTCTCAGCTCCATTATCCTCTTCGGTGCCGTTCAAAGCGATCCACAATGCACCTGTTAAGTTTAAGTCGGTGCATCGAAAAGTGTTCATACCAGATGTTGAGATACAAGTGAAATTTATAGAAAACGAAAGAAGCGTCACCACACATCTGCTCAACCCTAATTTGTGAGTATATTTTTATATGCCTCTATTTTTGACCCGCGACTTTGTTCGAACGATCGAGATGCACTGATTGCCCGAGACTATATATTTTACTAGGATAAGTTAGTTGAAATGGCAACGGGCTGGTCACACAGCTAGAAATCTCGTCAGCCGATGGGGAAGTAAGGTTGTTAAATGGCGACCCTATATAGGCACACACAATGTAGGACGACCCTCCGCTAGGTGGAGTGACGACCTCAAATGCATTACAGGTAGTCGATAGATGCAAGTGGCTCACGACCGTTCCTTTTGACAGCTTATGGGAGAGGCCTATGTTCAGCAGTGAACAAATAACAGCTGATATGATGATGATGATGATGATATATTTATATCAGAGGGAGACTTTGTACAAAAGTCGATTGCTTGGGTATCTCTGTCCCATTCGTGTTTCAACCGTGAAGTAGTTGTGTTTGTATGGCTGTGTTTCAGTTTGAAGGATATGGCGTGAATTTACGGGGTACAGAGGAATAACACCTGAGTTCTCAGGAATGGCAACGCATGGGCGGTATCATGGGCGAAACAGTATAGTCTGTTATGTCCATGGTACTGCTCATGTCTATAGGCGTCGGTTACCACTTTCCATCAGGTGGGCCGTCAGCTTGCTTGCTATTCTAAGTTGTATAAAAAAAAAATTATTGACCTTTAAAATACATGTATAGCCTCTTACAAAAATAGCATTTATCTTTCTCCATTGTAAATACTATGTGCACACCAAATTTCATGACAATTAGTTGAGTCGTTAGTGTCAAGAGAAAACCCAACGTGTATCAATAACGCAGATTGGGGGGCATTGTTAGTAATGCAGACTACCAGTCCCATTGCTAGCAATATACCCAGTCAGGTCGACCTGCACGTGGTCTCCCCTGGAAACCTTCGTGCTGAATTCCAGGTGTATTTTTTTATGGGTGAAAATGGTATGGTAACCCCGCCTGCGCTAACGGTATACGCTGGCATAAAAAAAAAAAATACTTCGCCCCTTTTAAAACTTAAAGCATAAACGTCAACCTCTGTCTCAAACCTGTTTGATACCTACTTAAGTTACCATTCTCTAAAAAGCTATCGATGTTATTATGATAAGGAAATTAATTGAAGGTCGTCTAGCGCGATCTTAGGAAGGCCACAGACGCCGAGTTGCGGATCGTCAATAGATTTCTTGTTTTTTTTTTTTTTATTTCCTCTCAGCAAATGTCTAAGTTATTTTACTAATCAGAAGTTAGTTGCGATTTGCGAAATCTGCAAATCATTAGAGGTCTAAAAGACTAGTCTATTTCTTGTTTAGTTTTTTTGTGCTTAACTTGGTATATCGAGTTATATTAATATTTCCCTGTCTTAATTTTTTTTTATGATGAACAATGGTGACCGTCGCCTATAAACATGAGCAGTACCATGGACATAACAGAGTATACTGTTTCGCCCATGATACCCCCCATGCGTTGCCATTCCTGATGACTCTGGTGTTAGTCTCAATTTGTAAAATCAATTTATACATATATATTTAATATACAGGTCTGAAATTCATCATCATCATTATCATATCAGCCGTTAACTGCTCACTGCTGAACATAGGCCTCCCCCCCCCCCTTTTCTTCATAATAGGGAGTTTCCAAGTAATTGCCACATTTGGCAGGCAGATTAACTATCGAAGTTAAGCTTTGGTGATGTTTTAAGAAAGACGCTAATGCCCATCGCTCGACCATTAACTTTTCTTAACCTCTTACAAGTCACGGGAAAGGAAGAAGTGAATTCATTCATTTAAGTCCTAAATTACATAATAATAAATACTACTGCGTTACTAGGCTTCTGTGACAGTGCCATCTAGATAAAAACTAAGCAGAGGAACAGTAGGTAATTTGTCAGACATACTAAATTACATACTACATATTATAGAACATTCAGACCAATACAAATAGAAAACAAAATATGCTCGACTAGCTTTGAGTGGGGAACCATACGGAATTCTTAATTGAAAAATTGTTATTGAAACAGACGTCAGACTTCTTAGTATGACCTTTAGTACGTATTTACCCGTCAAATATATGTATATAGGTCAGACGTATGCATATATATATATATATATATATATATATATATATATATATATATATATATATATATATATATATATATATATAACTGGCCTATGGCAATTCTCGAAAGACGTCAGTTTGTGAAAAGAATTCTGAATAGATTGATGGAAAATATAAATTTTTAAATATGGGAAAATATTCAATTATTATTTATATAATTGAATATTTTTCGAATAGTCATATCCCGCAGCTTTGTCCGTCTGAATCAGTATATAAGGTATCTTATGTCCTAAGTCAGGATAGCATAAAAAAACTTTAGACTCTAATGTTATTTCTAGTTATGTTAAATCTTTTTTATATTGTTCCTTTTATTTATGTGTATTATTCCTTTTCATATATATTATTGTACTGATGCTTTCCTGAGTGAACGTATTGGAAGACTGTAAAGCTCATCCAGTTGATGTAATAAATAAATAAACTACCCGTGTACCAAATTTCATTCAAATCTGTTCAGCAGTTTTTGCGTAAAAGAGTAACAAATATCCATCAATCATTATAAACTTTCAAATTTATAATACATCCATCCTATATAGTACGAGTATACTAAATTCCATAGTGATTGGTTAAGCCGTTACGGTATTAGAAGGTAACAAACAAACAAACTTTCACATTTATAATATGGACTGATATACCTGAGGAAAATAAAAAACAAATTAAAAAAATAAATTATCGTCATGTTCGGTAAACAACTTTAGCCAAGAAGAAAGGGTAAGAAACCGTACGTTTGCTCTATTTAAAAATAATCTTATTTGACATAGTAATAAGGTTTACTTTGGAACATTCAGATACACAATACATGAATTTGCTAACACGTAACACGCACGCGATAAAGTGTAAACAATCTGTACATATAAGTCAATAACATTTAACGTCACGTAATGACTCAATAAGAAAGACAATTGTACGTCAAGGTTTTGTATCAATGCACTTCATTGAATTACATTGCATGATAAACGAATCGATAAACCGAAGACGTTCAGGTATCTTTGTTTTTAATGGATGATAATTGAGTGGTTCCCCGCCTCCACTATCGGTATACATTGGCAGGGCATCAGTGAGGATTTTTTGTTGGACGAAAATGGATCGGTAACTCCGCCTGCGCTAACGGGATATGCTGGCGGAGCACCAGTGAAGGGTGATCTATGAAAACAGGCCAGTTAGCCTATCATAATGAATTCATTAGGAATTAGTCATGATAGTTTCTAGGGGGAACCGCGTGGAAGTCGACCTTGTTAGATATATTGCTAGCAATGGAATTTTTAATCTCCATTACTAACAATCCCTTTCCCTCCGCATCAGTGAGGGTTGATTGGTGTATAAAATGAAAAAGCAGGTCAGATAGCCCATCGTGATGAATTCAACAATAAATTTGCCATGATGAATTACAGGGAGAATCGTGTGGAAATCGACCTCATAGGGTATATTGATAGCAATGGGGACTAACCTCCCCATTACTAACAATCTTACTATATATATATATATATATATATATATATATATATATATATATATATATATATAATTTAAACATGTGGGTGATTGTTCGGTATTATACTTATAGAACTATAATAGAGAATTATAGGTCCAAACTTGTACTAGCTTTTACCCACGACATTATCTGCCTGCCGGAGATATATTTACTGACTGAAGTAAAAAGTAGTCTATGTTCTTCACCATACCATATAATACGTCTATACTAAATTTCGTAGCGATTAGGTAAGCCGGTAAAGCGCTATATGGTAACAAACAAACTCACTTTCGTATTTATAATATTAGTAATTTTTTTTATACAACTTAGAATGGCAAACAAGCTGACGGCCCACCTGATGGAAAGTGGTAACCGTCGCCTATAGACATGAGCAGTACCATGGACATAACAGAGTATACTGTTTCGCCCATGATACCCCCTATGCGTTGCCATTCCTGAGGACTCAGGTGTTATTCCTCTGTACCCAGTAAATTCACGCCATATCCCACCCTTCAAACCGAAACACAGCCATGCAAAAACAGCTGTTTCACGGTTGAAACACGAATGGAACAGAGGTACCCAAGCAATCGACTTTTGTACAAAGTCTCCCTCTGGTATTAATGCTGTGTTTCTTGTATTTATTATAAATAAAATGGACAACTGATGATTTACAGGTACACAATTCTTCTCCAGCATGGTGACTTCACGTGGACCATCAAAAAACGGTACAAGGACATCTTATACCTCCATCAGCAACTTATATTGTACCGCGCCTCACTCAACATACCGTTCCCATCGAAAACTCATAAATCGAGACGAGCTAGTTTCAAAAACACAGTCAATACGGAGGAGAAAGCTGAAAAAATGGCGCTTGAAGCGCTGCCAAGGAGTAATTCTAAAAAGCGAGAAACACGGCCGAGGAAAAGAAAGGGCGCCTTGCCCAGGTAAGGATGTTATTTTATTACTAGCTTTTACTGTCGACTTAGTCTGCATGACCAGGATAAAAGTAGCCTGTATCCCTCTCCCTCCCTAATAATATGTGTATACCCAATTTCATAGTGATTGATTAAGCCTTTAAAGCGCTAAGAGGTTAAAACCAACTTTTATATTTATAATATTGGGAAGGATCCTTTTTAAATTAGCAAACAATCTCAACAAGCTCCCTTGAAACCTTATTATCCCCTTTTTTAAGAAATTTTTTGACAATGCTTCCCAAAGAGGGTTGACGTCAGGCAGGTGGCTGGTCGTAAAACTAAAAACCAAATCTTTTTGTAATATGGATAAAACCATATTACGCCGACCCCAAATGATTGGGATAAGGGTAGGAAAATGATGATTTGACAATGCTTCTCATATCCACATAAAATGTTATTACTTCTAGGTTTCCAAAGAAGCCTGAAGTTATGATCACATATGAAGGCATCCAATTGCGAATGAAACAGCTGGAAGAGTACTTGTTTAATCTACTTAATATACCTTTATATAGAAATCATCATGAAACGGTAAGTTTTAGTTGAGTGCTCACAAGCAGTAAGTTAACTTGAAACAACCATATTTTTTTTCCACTAAATTACGCCCCAAAATCCTAACGAAATATGTATATCAAACATTATGTAACAAATAAAATTATTATTTAGCATTTTATATGTTTATCTCAATGGCAACACTGAAAATAATAATATTTATATTTATTCCATTGTATAACTTTTTCGCTCTCTTCCATTTTTTTTATATTTGTACCAATTTGTGCAAATTATTAAAAATCTCAGTGATTCTTTTGAAGTTTATAATTTTTTTCCTACACTAACGTTGACAAACTTACAGCACAATATTTTAACCATAGTTCATATTAAAAATGTATTTACAATAAAACCAATTCTTGTAAGGTCAGCATCAAAATACAATAATAATACATTACTGCAGTGGCAAGCAACTGAGGCATTGATGGACGAAGGTGCAAATGTGGGCCGAGGCGTAGCCGAGGCACACATACGTGAGTCCATCAATGCCTAGTTGTGGCCAAGGCTTGTATAGTACTTTTCGCAAACGATGCGCGGAAATCAAAAACACAATTTTACTTTTTAAGTTCAATGACGAATAATGAACAATAATAATTTTTCATGCGCCATAATAGTCCTTTGTTTTTTTTTTTTTTTTTTAATAAACAGCTTTCTATTTGTAAGCCAGTTTAAAATTTAAATAAAAATTTTTATTAGTTACCTCCTTGGTAGCCATGTTTCGAAGTAAAAGGTCATTCCATTTTTAAATTACAGGACAGATATGAGTTTACATAGTAATTTATCTGACCGCAAAACACGACAGATATGGATTTTCATACAACTTTTGCCGGCCTCTGCCCGCATGTATCTGGCCAGTACGGCAATTTTGATTTATCTCTAAGAAGATTGTCAAAATAATGCTTCCATTTCTAAGCATGTTTGAGAAAATACTTTTAACATTTCTAAAATCCCTATACTCCGTAGCATATATACGCTATAATATATTTTCAACTAATATTAACCTTATATGATGTTCAACCAATTCTAACGCTAACTTTTCAATTAACGCAAACTCAGGTTTTGGAAATCTCCAACTGCTTATCGACTTTTGATACTGACTGTACATACAATCACGTTCTAAATATTGAATAATTAAAAATAAACGGATACATTAAATTTTATTTATTTATTTCCTATTACATTCCATAATGTGGTAGTTAAATATTAAAATGGCTTTAATTATGGAGCATATTTGGGCACAACAATTAGGGGATAGAAAGATAGCCTTCCCTCAATGGCTCCCCCAATGGGGGGGTTAACAATATTTGCGTTTTCTAAACTAATATACAAATAAAAACATTTACAGGTGCAATTCTTAGAAGTGTCCAACTTATCATTTATATCCGATTTGGGCAGCAAAGGGAAAGAGGGAATGATCATGAAGCGAACAGGTTCTACACAGCCGGGACAAGCCGGCTGCAACTGTTTTGGACTACTCGGCACTATGGTGTGTGTCAGGTATGTAATTTACACAAAGCTGCATTATTAGCAAATAAAACAGGGCTTGTATTTTTTTTATGCAACTTAGAATGGCAAACAAGCTGACGGCGTACCTAATGGAAAGTAAAGTAACCTTCACCTATAAACATGAGCAGTACCGAGTTTTAAGTTTTGAATAGTATTTAAGTTCAACCTGAATTCACCCTTGTTGATACAAGTGCTTTGATAGTCGCTTGACTGTCACTCAAGATATTCTTGGTTTTTACATGATTATCCAGACTCATGGCTGCACAGGTGGCGACGGCATACATTTCTGTTTGGAAAACAGTAGAGTATTTCCCTGTGCTTTGACTTATTTCGTTTTCACTTGAAAAGATACCAGCTCCAGTACCTGTTACCTTTCAGAAGCCATCAACCAATATAGGTCAATCTCCTTTAGAGATGGCGGGGTATGTTTACCAGAGGGAGACTTTGTACAAAAGTCGATTGCTTAGGTTCCTCTGTCTCATTCGTGTTTCAACCCTGAAGCAGTTATGTTTGCATAGCTGTGTTTCGGTTTGAATATGGCGTGAATTTACTGGGTACAGAGGAATAACATCTGAGTCCTCATGAATGGCAACGCATGGGGGGTATCATGGGCGAAATAGTATACTCTGTTATGTCCATGGTACTGCTCATGTCTATAGGCGACGGTTACCACTTTCCATCAGGTGGGCCGTCAGCTTGTTTGCCATTCTAAGTTGTATAAAAAAAAATGTTCCCACTCTTGATACATCCTTATGTGAATAAATAAAAAATATTACTTCTAGATGCAACTACTTCTGCACGGTGCTGGTCTGTTCCAAGTGGCAGGAGAGGTGGTTATTCGTGAAAGACACGTTCTTCGGGTACATCCGGCCCAGTGACGGCATTGTCAAAGGTGTTATGCTGTTCGATCAAGGGTAAGTTTGTACATATGTCTAGTACTGTCATTACATATAAAACTCCTTTTTCAAGTCAATGATAGGATAAAAAGTGCTTCATAATATTCAGACATTAACTGTCCATTGCTGAATATAGGAATTTATTTAAAATCTGTTCAATAGTTTAGTTTTAAAATAAAAATTGGTGTTACCACAATTGAAGTCTTTTTTGTAGAACACAATTATTAAGAAACATTTTTTTGCTATTAAAGTGATTTGTCTCTTTCTTTCGAATTAAATTCTTCATTTGAACTAAAGTGAAAAAATATAATAATATATAGGTGACACCATCTTTTTACAAATAACACCATAAACTTGACTAAAATATAGTATGAAACTTAATAATATATATATTTATATTTTATTTCTCGCAGCACGTGGATGTGTGAGTATACTATTCACCGCAAATGTGCTAAAACTATAATAGTGTGGTATTTATGTTATTTACATATATATAAACACCGTAACACAATGTATAAAACACATCGATTCTGAAATGTCATCCAAATCAAAATTTACTTAAACTCATTGTCTATGCATAGCCTAGGGAGAAATAATAATATACACATAGCAACACTGTTCGATAATCATTGCTATTCACCCCGTGCTACTAAACATAAAATGAAAAACAAGTTTTATTACATCTCTAATAAATACTAAAGAATATGGGACTGAACTAAATGTTTTTAAAGTGTATAGTAAATCCATTTTTTTATTTAAAATATTTTTATGAAAAGCTACAAAAGTATTTGGAGTCAAAAACAATGAAATATTTAATAATGCAATATTATCTCGTTTTAATCATAGTAAGGTTTCGGGTGAGCTAATGGTGAATTTTATCATGCTTTTTTGTAGGTACATACTAGAATTATGTAAAGGTAATAAACATGTTGGAAAATACACGACTTTGTATTAAATTGGAGTATAAAAAGTGCACGCTAATTTAAAGTGTAATTGTAAAATTAATTCCGTCTACAAATGAGGGGAAAAAATCAAACTGTCATTTTCTAAAATTTGTGAATTTTAAAATAGGTTTACCGAAAGACATTTCACAATACCAGAGTTCTTTATACTAAGAAGCTACATAAAATAGATGCTATTGTAATTATTATATTTGTCCAATGTTTTGCTCCTTACAATGCGAATACATTTTGTATTTCAATCATACATGCATGTATTGCTTTAGATTCCACTACTTTACTACCGTAGTTTCATTGAATCATTAATCAATTTGCCAATAATCAATGTAGGCCATTGATCCATAGCTATACTAAAACCAAAGTGATAACCGATGCGCATTTTGAAAGCCTGTTGTAATCTACTTATACCAAATCTTACAAGGCAGTTACAATCACAGATTTTTTTACACCACTGAGTTGCAAACAAGTATACGGCTAACCTGATGGTAGGCGGTTACCGTAGCCTATAAACGCCTACAATACTAGAAGCATTACGCGCGCGTTGCCGACCTTGAAAAAACCTCTACTAATTTTTTCGAAGAACCCCATACTGTAGTGTCTTGGAAAAATCTCAACGGGAAGCTCATTCCGTAACCTGAGCGTTCGTGGAAGCAAACATCTCTGAGACCGCGGTGTACCAGATTATTTAGACTTTAAGGTATGGAAGTGAACTCCCTGTTGATGGAGAGCTATTCGATGGTAGAATGTGGCTATGGACATCATATTGAACAATTTCTCTGAGCACAATCCGTTATTAATACAAGTTCTTGCTTAGAAATTGTTTCGTAAAAAAAATATTCATACAGACAACTTTATCCAAGTCTTTAGTGTAATTCAGTAATTCTGTATTTTTAATTACAATAGGTTCGAAGTATCTAGTGGTATGTATTCAACCGGGTTGAACCACGGTCTGCAAATACTCAACAACAGTCGACAAATGGTCATCAAGTGCTGGACCAAGCGGAAGAGCAAAGAGTGGATGCAGTTCCTCAAAACTGTAGCTAATCAGAGTGGTAAGTTGAAGGGTGAATTATGGCGGGAATTCAGAGCACAGAGGAATAACACCTGAGTCCTCAGGAATGGCAACGCATGGGGGGTATCATGGGCGAAACAGTATACTCCGTTATGTCCATGGTACTGTTCATGTCTATAGGCGACGGTTACCACTTTCCATCAGGTGGGCCGTCAGTTTGTTTGCCATTCTAAGTTGTATAAAAAAAGCCACAGTAAAATGTAATTCAAATGAAATATTTTAATATAATTTATTCAATCAGTCTAAAATATCATAATCATATATATCAATTAGGTAAAATATTATAACGTAAGAAATAATGTGCGTATTCAGTGTATGTGTTTTGCCAGTAGTTGCCACGCTTGGCATGCAAGTTGGCGATCGCAGTCAGCCTTTGGTGATGTTTTAAAAGGGACACTGCTGTTCGTCCTTCCATGATTTAAGTTCCCTTAGTTGGTCTCTTACGACACCTACAGGGAAGGAAATCCACTGCTGAAATTTTGATGATGATGATGCTTCGAATATCCTTCAGATTATTTCATGGATTTACATATTTCAGCACGTGATTTCACATACCCCAACGTGCACCATTCCTTCGCGCCGCCTCGACCAGCTACTCCGGCCGCCACTTTCGTGGACGGTTCCTCATACCTGTCAGCCGTCGCTGATGCCATGGAGCTCGCCAAGGAAGAGATCTTCATCGCGGACTGGTGGCTCAGCCCGGAGATTTACATGAAGAGGCCCGCACTGAACGGAAACTATTGGAGACTTGATACCTTATTGAAGAGGAAAGCGGTGAGTTATCTTGTTTATAATCATAATTTTTATCCCACTGCTGGGCATAAATTTCAGTCTATTATTACAATCATAACTACCAGGCTTTGTATTTGTTTTTGTTTGTTTGTTTTGCCAAATCGCCTGCCAAGCGTGGTAAATACTAGTAAAAGCCTCCCAATTGGGAGAAGCCAATGCTCAGCAGTGGACAGTTAATATTATATGACGGCTGATATGATGATAATTATACATTCAACTGAATCTGCTTTACTTACGCTTGGCCGCATTCTGCGGGCTCAAGATAAACCATATCATAACTGCTTTTTCACGCCACTTTTAAATGATCCGTGGTTATAGGACGAAGGCTACATGCTGTCTTAGTTAATTAACTTTCGCGTTGTATACACATATTTAAATACATTATCGGGATTTAACGTGTTGGAATTTTTTTTGCAGGTAAATAGTACCTAAACACCTGTTTGTTCATTTCCAACGTTTCGATGTGGATTACACCACGTCGTGGTCGCGACGTGACTCAATAGTTTTAATTGCTTTAAGTTCCCATACTTTATTTAAATGTATTTATTTATTTATTATTTATTTTAACTCTTTATTGCACCAGAAACACAAATATATACAATGTCGATTGAATAATTCAAGTGAAATACAGTAACATAAATACAGATTGAAATTTACACATAAAGGTACAAAAGGCGGTCTTATAGCTAGGGCAATTTCTTACAGACAACCTTTGATTAAAGAAGAACAGGTAGAAGTGGGTGGCGCAAGAGTAAAGTAATAATTGTTTCGTGTATAAAATACAAAAACCTATGTTACAAAAAATATCACAAACATTTTATGCTATCACAGATGTGCAAGTTTGTGAGCATTAATATTTCAATAGAATAGATTTTAAATATCTAGTGATTCACGTGGACCAAATCACATGATATAGCTAGTTTTAAATATAATTTTATGGTTTTCCAGGCGCAGGGCGTGAAGATATTCATAATGTTGTACAAAGAAGTTGAGATGGCGCTTGGTATCAACAGTTACTACAGTAAAAGTAGATTGTCCAGCGAAAATATTAAGGTAATGCTAAGAATTCATCATGATACACAACTAACCATCATCCAAACTTACAATCATTCTCTGGTGTGCTAAAGGGCGTATACTAACAGTACAGGCTTTACCGTTCCATTTTTTTCCGTTGGAAAAAGTTGTCTCTTCCCTGTAAGGAACTAAGCGTGATATCTTCACACTCAATTCTTTATGAAGGATAAATACAAAATATACTTTCTGTCTACATGTATGTATACTTTAATTAAGAAACTATTATGAAGTGGAAAGATTTAATTTTATATTTGCAATGGATCAAAAAATACTTAATTGATTTTATATAAGAAAAAAAAATTGTATTGCACTAAAACATGCAGTAATAATAACAATAAGTAACGTAGTAAAGTACCGAAAAAAAAAGAGAATTGCCGTTAAATTATTTTAAATTGAAACTGAAAACATGATTAATAGAAAATATTTTTTATGAATATTTGTAAACTATAAATGTACATATTAATGCTGTGACATTGACTAAGTTTGAAATTTAAATTGTAATTTAATTTTTATTTGACATTTCTATCGTTTTTATTATTTATAGTAGCTTTATTGACTGCTTATAATGCATGACCAAAGTGTGTATTTGGTACCAGTAGTGATTTGTATATTGTATAATTAATAATTAAAAATTAAATAAATATATAATTTACCTATATAGAATAACCTATCTGTTGGTAAATTCAATAGTTAATATTTGCATGCCATTTGATATGGCGAAACATAATGGACATCTTATAAACTTGACAAATGCAACATTTTATCTACATTGTTTCTGGCAAATAAAATTTTTTCATTTCATTTTATTTCAAAGTAAGTAAGCAAAGGTGAACTTATCACTAAAAGAGGTCTCTTCCAGTCAACCTAACACAGTGGCATAGGAAGAAGTGAATCCAAAACAGGATCAAAACTAAAAAAAAATCATCTATATTAAGCTACATTATAATTTTTTCAAAGCTAAATTTTTTCACTAACGTAATTTTAAAGCTACTAACAATAAAACAAAGTAAATCTTATTGTCTGGAATTAAATGAATTTTAATTATCAACGAGTAAAATTTTATTAAAAAAAAAACCGTCCAAAGCCGGGGTACTAGTGTAACATACATATACATGCAATATGGTAAGTAAAAATAAAAAAATAACATTTTAACGTAGGTTTTCCGTCACCCAGACCACGCGAAGGCGGGCGTGCTGTTCTGGGCGCACCACGAGAAGATCGTGGTCGTCGACCAGACTGTGGCCTTCCTCGGGGGCATCGATCTCTGTTATGGTCGCTGGGACGACCATAGACACAGGTTCGTTTAGTTTCTCAACTCTCTATCTACTTGCAATTATCACTTTATGTGATTTAAATAAATGCAGAATCCCATCCATTCCATCCCATCCACTACTATCATCATCATCATCATATCAGCCTTTAACCGTCCACTGCTGAACATAAACGTCTCCTTTGGAGGGGTTTTGCCAGTAATTGCCACGCTTGGCAGGTGGGTTGGCAACCGCAATTAGGCTTTAGAGATGTTTTAAAAAGAACACTGCTGCTCATCCCTTGCCCTTCATTAGTTGCCTCTTACGACACCCACGGAAACGAAAAAACTATTCTATGCCAGACCACATGGCCGTCATCATCATGACATCCATTAATTGTCCACTGCTGGACATAGGCCTGCCGCATAAATGGGGGTTTGCCAGTAGTTGCCACGTTTAGCAGGCACGTTAACAACCGCAGTTGTCTTTGATGATGTTTAAAAAAGACGGTACTTTGAAAAGATGAATCTCTTAAACTCCCTTAGTTGCCACTTACGGCATCCATGGGAAAGGAAGAAGTAGCCTATTAATAGTATTACTAATATTCTATACAGGAACCACACGGCAATTCCAATAACTTATCATTCGTCCTCCGTGTACAGGTACATTGCCAAGTACTTATGAAAATAACAAGTTTACAAAATTATAATAGTTTCTGGTGATTTTCTTTTTTGGTGTAGTTAGGTATATATATTATTTGTATGTACCCTATGTCTATTGTGTGTGTAGTTTTGTTGATGGCGATAAGGGTCGGAGATGATAATTGTTGAATAATTACTATGAAGTGAATCATACTATATTATTTATATCGACTTTACTCATATTGTAATATTCAAAAATTCTTGACCGGTTTCAAACTTCGAACTTAGAAACTTTCGAAATCATTACTAGTGTTATAATTGTGAAAGTGAGGTAGTCAACTCTTAGCGCCTTAGCTTATTACTATGAAATTTGGAAGACACATACTACAATATATGAGATGGAAAAGCACATAGAACTTTTTGTACTAATCACGTGAAGAAAGTCGCGGGTAAAAGCTAGTAATTACAATATTTTATAGTACCTGTATTAAAGTAACGGTGTCGTCATATCTGTAATACATCATTGTCGAAACAAATATATCTCACTTGACTGTTTATACATTTTTTTTTATACAACTTAGAATGGCAAACAAGTTGACGGCCCACCTGATGGAAAGTGGTAACCGTCGCTTATAGACATGAGCAGTACCATGGACATAACAGAGTATACTGTTTCGCCCATGATACCTCCCATGCGTTGCCATTCCTGAGGACTCGGATGTTATTCCTCAGTACCCTGTAAATTCACGCCATATCCCACCCTTCAAACCGAACACAGCCATGCAAACACAAGTGCTTCACGGTAGAAACACGAATAGGACACAGGTACCCAAGCAATCGAGTTTTGTACAAAGTCTACCTCTGGTAAAAATCTTTTTACCAGAGGGATTAATTTATAGTCTTAGAATGTAAATAATTCTAAATTATTTATATTTCTATTAGATTGACCGATTTGGGCAACATATCACAGCCGAAAACATCGATAAAAATGAAGAAGAAAACTTCAAGCTCGCCCGGCGGGGGCGGGCTGTGTTACCCGCAAACCAATGGGGTCGAAGCCGCAATCGAATTAGCTAAGACTTCGAAGGACATCGTCATTGGATTGAATGAGTAAGTCATTTTGTTTTCATTAACTAAGTCTTCATGTCCCCAATTGCGTACTCTTTCCCGAACTGCGTGCTCTTTCTCGAACTGCGTGTTCATATCTTTGCTATTATGCGTTATTATATTTGCGTTTTCTTATCCCCAAATGTATCCTTATACCTCGTTTTCAAGCCCTTAATTTTGTCCGCATGTCCCTGCATCCTAACACCTCCAATAAACTATACTCCCATCTCCCCAACTGCATACTCTAATATTCATGCGTTCTCCTGTTCCCAACTGTATCCTCCCATCCGGAATCACTGTCAAAAATAACAAAAATATTTTATTTATTATAGACGAGCCCTTCAAGAAACTACCGACCTGAATCAAAATGAAGATTCAGAAACGAACTCTGAAAAAACGGATACGCCTCAATCAAACCTACCAGTATTGCAACCCGGCGACCAGCTACTAATGCCGACGCACTCTACTGACTCCCCTGACTTACCGATATTCGACACGCGAGAAGTCCAAAAACGGAATGTACTAAACAAAATAACGGACAGAGGCAAAGACATAATCAGTATAATATACCCACCGTACGAAGAGGAAAGGAATGAGCAGAAATTTGATGACGTCGAAAGGAAGAAAGCTGAGAAATACGCGCTGTCTAATGATCAAGTGTTGTTGACTGAGGCCTTGGGTATACCTGCGGCTAAAGTCAGCAGGAAAGTGAGTAAACCGACGCCGTTAGCTCGAGTGGTGGACGGTCGGGTGATCACTGAGAGTACGAAGGACGCGCTCGAGGGTCTCGAAGGAAATTCGAAACTGTGGATCGGGAAGGACTACACAAATTTTATTGTTAAGGATTTCAATAATTTAGATCTGCCATTTGTAGGTGAGTGTGCTTTTTATTAGTTTTTAATATTTTTCGAGAGGCAATGTGTACTCGCTTTTTTCTTTCCTCTCTCCATTTTCCTTCACCTCTCCTCCTCCTTTCTCTTTTTCTTTCTTTCTGTATCTTTCTCTCTCTCTTTCTCTTTCTCTCTTTCTCTTTCTCTCTTTCTCTCTCTCTCCCTTTCTCTCTTTCTCTCCCTCCCTTTCTCTCTCTCTCTCCCTTTCTCTCTCTCTCTCCCTTTCTCTATCTCCTTTTCTCTCTCTTTCTCTCTCTCTCTCCCTTTCTCTCTCTCTCCCTTTTTCTTTCTCTCTTTCTCTCTTCTTTTCTCTCTTGATTTCTCTATAATAAACGATCTTATCAATATATTGGTAATAGTAAGCTAATATAATTCTCTTATGAAAAGAGACCCATCAGCAATGTGCCGTTTATGAGTTGTTGCGGTTAGATGAAGATGTGGTTATGGTATTTCAGACTTAGTAGACAGACACACAACACCCAGAATGCCGTGGCACGACGTCGGCGTGATGGTGCAGGATGCCGCCGCGAGAGACGTCGCCAGGCATTTTATACAGCGGTGGAATGCCATCAAACTGGAGAAGGCACGGTAAATAGTGTTATTTTTATATGTATATAATATTCTGTACTACAGAATACCAAGTTTCGCTAAAATCTATCGAGTAGTTTTTGTTTCTATAACGAACATACAGACAGACAGACAAAAATTTTACTGATTGCATTTTTGGCATCAGTATCGATAACTTATCACCGCCTGATAGTTATTTTGAAAATATATTTCATGTACAGAATTGACCTCTCTACAGATTTATTATAAGTATAGAAGATAACCCGGGGAACGTTAACAAAAGAAAGATTAACACCCTAAGGGCCTACCATGAAATATTTTCCGAAATTTCGGGGACGAACGATACAGAAATTTGATGTTAAATTTACATAATACATGCCATTTAAAATTATTGAAAATCTTAAAATATCATTCCTCTGGACTATTAGGATAGGATTTATGATGAACGAAATGTAAAGCTCCATTTACTGAGTCTATTTCGGTACGAACAAAAACACGAAACTGAGCCCGAAAATTTGGAATTTCATTTGATGGTAGACCACCTGCTCTAGTATTATATATTTCTTTATTATACTTTTAATTTGTCCTGTGTATCTAATTTCAGACAGAACCCGAATTATCCGTATTTATTGCCAAAATCATATACGGACATAAAACCATTACAAGATCTGGACACGCATCTCAATGTCGACATGGTCAAGGTCTCGTGTCAGGTAATTGATTTTAATAAAATATTTATATCATCATGTTAGCCGACAACTGTCTGTTGCTGAACGTGGATCTCCCTTTCAAGGATATTATCAGGAATTGCAACTCTTAGCAGGTAGGTTGGCAACAGTAGTTTTTTTTTTGATGGGTGAATATGGTATGGTAACCCCGCCTGCACTAACGGGATACGCTGGCGGAGCACCAGTGAAGGGTGATAGACAAGAATGAAAACAGGCCAGTTAGCCCATCATGATGAATTCATCAGGAATTAACCATGATAGTTTCCAAGGAGAACGGCGATGAGGTCGACCTGGTTAGGTATATTGCTAACAATGGGATTCTCAGTCTCCATTACTAACAATCCCTTTCTCCCTGGCAACCGTAGTTAGGTGGAGGGAAAGGTATTGTTAGCAATGGAGTAAGGCAGCCCCATTGCTAGCAGTTAGCCCTGTTAGGTCGACCTCCACGTGGTTCCCCCTGGAAACCACCGTAAACAATTCTTATTGAATTCGTCACGATGGGCTGACAGACCTGCTTCATCCTCACCTATCATTCCTCACTGGTGCCCTGACAGTGTATACCAATAACGCAGACGGGGTAACCATTTCATTGTCATCCATTAAAAAAAACGTAGTTAGGTTTTAGTGATGTTTTAAGAGGGGTGTTTTAAATATTTATGTCCTAAGAAGAATAAACAGGCTGAAGTGCTAACGGCCTGGTCATATCGCTCGAATAACAGACAACCGATGGCAAAGAAGGTTCTTGAGTGCGACCCCATACAAGCAAACGCAATGTAGGACGACCACCCCACTAATGAGAATAGAGTTACGACCTCAAATGCATTTCAGGGAGCCAGTAAATGCAAGTAACTCAGGATGGGAACCTTATGGCAGTCTATGGGAGAGACCTATGTTCAGCAGTGGGCACATAATGGCTGATATGATAATGATAATTTATATCCTACTATTATGTTTGTTGTTGTGCACAGCTTTCGTAAAGCGGTGTTTGAAACAATTAAACCACTAAGGTCCTAGTCACACGATCGAAATCGCGGTTTTTCTTTAATGGAACGAAAATGGCATTGTAACCCCGCCTGCGCTATGCGTATACGCTAACGGAGTACCAGTGAGAGATAATAAGTGAAGATGAAAGCTGGTGGTCTACCATGAAACGAAATTCCGAATTTTCGGACTCAATTTCGTGTTTTTGTTTGTACCGAATTCGACCCAGTAAATGGAGAGAGGAGGAGCTTAACATTTCGTTCATCATAAATCCTATCCTAAAAGTCCAGAGGAACGATATTTTAACATTTTTAATAATTTTTTAATGGCATGTATTATGTAATTTTAACATCAAATTTCTGTTTCGTTCGTCCCTGAAATTTCTGAATATATTTCATGATAGCCCCTCTGGTCATTTAGCACTTCGTGATTAATTATCCTGGAATTAACTACGATGGTTTCCAGGGAGACTGTGTGGAAGTCGGCCTGACGGAGTAAAGGCTATTAATACAACCACGCGATTCCATCACTGACTATCCCCTTAAGAAATCGTAGTTAAAGACTGGTATATATTTTATTCGTCAGGTACTCCGCAGCGTGTCGAGCTGGTCGTGCGGATTCCTCGACCCGGATACGGTGGAGCAGAGCATCCACGAGGCGTACGTGGACACCATCACGCGCGCGCAGCACTACCTCTATATCGAGAACCAGTTTTTCATCACGCTCTCGCGCTCCAACCCCACCGTCAGGAACCAGGTACGTGGACTCATTAACCCAATGCCTCTCTCTCTCTTATAGACATCGTTGAAGCCTCTTCACTTCACTTAATACGAGGTCTGTCCGGAAAGTTCGTATAAAAGTGTTCTGGAATGCGAGAAAGAGGAGTGGGGAGGCCAGGTAAGCGCAGGACCCCTTCCTTATGTCCCTAACAATGCTTCAGTTCTGGTCTGACCGCCGTGCGGTGCGAACTGGCTTGTCACGCCATCTGTGAAGTTACCTCTTAACGAAACCCCGTCGGCATGGAGCCCGCTTCCGTTGAAGAGCAGCGCGTCGTAATCAAGTTTCTCTCGAAACTCGGCAAGAATGGCCGTGAAATTTTTGCCGATCTCAGAACAGTTTATGGGGATGATGCTGTGAAGGAACCAACCGTCCACAAGTGGCTAAAAAGATTCAGAGAGGGCCGAGACAATGTTGATTGTTTTTTTCGATGTTCGGGGGATTGTCCATCAAGAATTCGTCCCTCCAGGCCAGACAGTTGATGGAAAATTCTACGTCGATGTGCTCAGACGCCTCAAAGCTCGTGTGGCACGAGTTCGTCCAGAATTGGCGCGAGAGGGGCGTTGGATTCTTCACCACGACAATGCCCCTGCCCACACCTCTCTTGTTGTCCGTGAGTTTTTGAGTAAAAATTCCATTACGGTGACCGAACACCCCCCTATTCGCCGGATTTGGCCCCGTGTGACTTCTTCTTGTTCCCAAAAACCAAATTGGTACTTCGGGGGCGGCATTTGGGGGACATAAATGAGATAAAAAAAGCTACGACGGGGCAGCTGAGAAACCTACAACCAGAGGACTTTCAAGGAGCCTTCTCACAGTGGAAACGGCGTTGGCACAAGTGCATTATGTCACAGGGGGAGTACTTTGAAGGGGATAAAATTGATTTACCTGAATAATTGTAAAATAAAATTTTTAAAAAACTTTTATACGTACTTTCCGGACAAACCTCGTATTGTAAGAGCTCAGTCAGGAACAGAGCGGAAAAAAATTGTTTATAATGGAAACTAACAGCCACATTGCTAGCAATATACCCTACCAGAGTAAATCGCGTAGTGGTCGACCTGATACGATGTATTGCCATTTTATTATTTTCTCATAAAAATCCCCATTACTGGAGGGAAAGAGAATGTAATGGAGACCTATAATTTCATTGCTAGCAATATACCCTATCAAGTCAACCTCTACGCGGTTCCCCCTGGAAACCATCATGATAGATAGATAAATAAATAGATACTCTTTATAGATGAGGATGAAAGCAGGTCAGTTAGCCCATTATGAAGAATTCCACGAGAAGTAACCACGATGGTTTCCAGGGGGAACCACGTGAAGGTCGACCTGATTAGTAGCATTGCTAGCAATGGGGCTGTTAGACCCCATCACTAACAATCCCTTACACCTCCCCCACCCCCCATTTTAAGGGTGGGATATGATAGTGAATTTACAGGGTATAGAGGAGTAACACCTAAGTCCTCAGGAATGGCAACGCATGGAGGGTATCATGGGCGAAACAGTATACTCTGTTATGTCCATGGTACTGCTCATGTCTATAGGTGACGGTTATCACTTTCTATCAGGTGGGCCGTCAGCTTGTTTGCCTTTGTAAGTTGCATAAAAAACAATATTTGCAGATTGGCGAAGCGCTATTTAACCGTATAATGCGCGCCGTGCGAGCCGGGACGCGGTTCCGCGTGTTCGTGGTGATGCCTCTATTGCCAGGGTTTGAGGGCGAAGTAGGTGCGCCGTCCGGCACTTCGCTGCATGCCGTCACGCATTGGAACTACCAGAGCATCTCCAGGTAAAACCTTAGGAGTAGCATTACGTGAGAAATGGCATGACTCTTGCCCATTTTCACCATATCTGCCTTTATTTATTTATTTATTTATTATTATAATGCATTCATGTACATAATATAGAGTTGTTACAATGTTCTTATGATAAGTAAGTACATGTAACCCAAACGGGTGTAGCAAAATTATATTGATAGGTAGCTAATATATATGCATTAATGATAATTACAACCCGCCACAAACTAAAGTTTCATCCCAAACATCTGGACGAGTGGCGGTCTTCCACCGTGCGTTTTTCAAGGCACTTTCTTCCACGCACAACCATTCTTTGGAATCAACTTCCAGCAGCAGTATTTCCGAATCGATACGACAACATAACCTTCAAGAAAAGAGAATATTCCTTTTTAAAAGGCCGGCAGCACACCTGCAATGCGGCTGGTGTTGTGGGTGATCATGGGCGGCGGTAGTCACTTACCATCAGGTGAGCCGCATGCTCGTTTGCCCCTTGCGTTGTAAAAAAAAATTGAGAAGTCAGTTTTGCTAGTAGTTGTCACGCTTCATTTTACAATACAGGAGGCAAACGAGCATGCGGCTCATCTGATGTTAAGTGACTACCGCCGCCCATAGTCACTCACAACACCAAAGGCATTGCAGGTTATGATTTTGTATCGGTTTGGATATACTGCTGCTGGAAGTTGATTCTAAAGAGTGGCAGGCGTAATATAGTAATATATTAAATTGCAAAAAAAAAACTATTTCAGAGGCCCAGAAGCGATCTTGACCCGTCTCCAAAAAGCTGGGGTCACCAACCCGTCCGACTACATAACGTTCCACGGCCTCCGGACGCACTCCACCCTGGAGGAGGAGCCGGTCACCGAGCTGGTGTACGTCCACTCCAAGCTGCTGATCGCCGACGACAAGACCGTCATCTGCGGTAGTGCCAACATCAACGACCGGTCTATGGTCGGGAAGAGGGATTCGGAGATTGCGGTCATATTGCAGGTCAGCTATCCAACGATGTTATAAACTAGTGACTCGCACTGGCTTCGGATGTTTTTTTTATTTATTTTCATGTTATTTTCTGATAATGTAGCTTTTTATTAGTGATTTTTTTTAAACTGTTTGTATTTTTTTTTATTTATTACAAATAAAAAATAAAAATGTTCCCTTTATAATATTGGACTTAAAAGATTGTAAGGTTGATTGTACGATTTTTACTGATTAAACGGCCGAACAAATTTGAATAAAATATAGTACATAGATAGGTCAATCTATAATTCATAGGTTTATATTTTTAGTGTTGTGATGAGGTAATAATACCATGTGTTGCTATTCTTATCATCACCATTTTCATTCGTTAACTATCCACTGCTGAGAACATAAGCCAAGGGGGATTTGGTGGTTTTGCCAGTCGTTGCCATTCTTGGCAAGTGTGGTAGTAACCGCAGTTAGGCTTTGATAATGTTTTATGAGGGATGCTGCTGTCCATCCCTTGATAATTAAATTGACACTTGATGCTCAATTTATACGATCTAAGATTTTATTATTCCAACAGGATGAAGAGTTCACGGACGGCGTGATGAACGGCGAGTCGTTTCCTTGCGGGCGCGTGGCGGGTTCGCTCAGGAAGCGGCTGTTCAGGGAGCACCTGGGGCTCATGGACGCCGACCTGGACGCCATGGGGCTCTCGCTCGACGACCCCTGCTGCGACCACTTCTACAGGAACGTCTGGCAGGCCACCTCGCGGCAGAACACCGCTATGTATGAAGACGTGAGTGTTTAGACATCCTTAAATAGTATATGTAATTTGGAATAATATGTAATGTATATGTAATAGGGGGAAAGGGATTGTTAGTAATCTGATAAGACTGAGAATCCCATTGTTAGCAATATACCCAACCAGATCGATCTCCTCGCGGTTCTCCCTGGAAACTATCATGGTTAATTCCTGATGAATTCATCATGATGGGCTAACTGGCCTGTTTTCATTCTCATCTATCACCCTTCACTAGTGCTCCGAAAACGAAACTTGTTACAATTATTCTTCAGACTCCTGGGCAGCTTATAGTATACTTTTCATCACGCTACGATCAATAGGAGCAGAGCAGTGAAGGGAAATGTTGGGAAAACGGGAGAAGTTACTCCATTTTTAAGCTTCCGTCGCGTATGCAGCCTTAATGGCCACTTTTTAAAATGTAAAAATGTCAACCCGTGCGATGCCGGGACGGGCCGCTAGTTTTTAATATTATTTTGTCTCCAGGTATTCCACTGTATACCAACAGACGCGGTAGGTTCCTTCGCAGAACTGAAGAAGTATCAAGAGGACAATCGTGAAACGCTATGGCACGTCGATCGGGCGCTGGCGAATAGAAAAATAGACGTCATACAAGGGTATTTAGTGGATATGCCGCTCAACTTCCTGCACAAAGAAAGCCTGACACCCAGAAACACGTCGGTCGAAGGTATCTTACCTACAGCTCTGTGGACTTAATTACAATTACATAAGGACTATATTTGATTGCACAATGTGATAGGAGCGTCATAACTATATGTAAGCCGGCGTTATATAGTCGTTTATAATGCCTGGCGTTGATGTGAAAGCGAAATAAATATATTGGATTGCTAATTAATAATATAATGATTTGGCTTCTAGTTTTACGACCGGCCGCCTGCCTAACCTGCTCTTTGGCAATGTATATGTTAGTGGCGCCTATACAAGAAGTAATGATATTTAAAAAATTTGGTTAAATGGTTATTATTATTATGCTTATTATCACTTTAGCCACTATGCGTCCACTGCTGGACATAAGCCTCCCTCATAGACTATCATAAAGAACGGTCCTGAGCCACCTGCACCCACTGATTCCCTGCAATGCATTTCAGGTCGTCACTCCATCTAGTGGGGGTCGTTCTACACTGTTTATTATTATTATTTTTTATACAACCTGATGGAAAGTGGTAACCGTCGCCTATAGACATAAGCAGTACCATGGACATAACAGAGTATACTGTTTCGCCCATGATAACTCCCATGCGTTGCCATTCCTGAGGACTCAGATGTTATTCCTCTGTACCCTATAAATTCACTGCCATATCCCACCCTTCAAATCAAAACACAGCCATGTAAACACAACTGCTTCACGGTTGAAACACGAATAATTCTGTTAGTAAATATTCCTAACTTAAAGTGATTTACAAACGACGATGTGTCCTAATTGTGTTTTTATTTAACTATACAATGATTTGAACATTTGTTTTTATATTATAATTTATTTATTTGAGAATTATAACATGTTATTAATCATTGCATTTTCGTTATTAGTGTTAAATATTGTTTAATGTCTTCGGGCGTTTAAGCGCGAAATAGTATTCCAATAGTACTCTAACAATTAAGGAATTATTTATTCGTAAATAATATTAATACGGTATTGACATTTTTTTTTTTAAATAACAGCTAATCGTTGTTTCATTGAATTCCTTCATTATATTTTAATTGTGTTTAGCAATAATTTAATTTTATAATTATTTAAGTATCTTTTAATACTACAATTCAAATCAATACCAATTAGAAATGGGTAATATCCGATATCTATATATTGACCACCCATTGCGATATCGCCTATACCAGTCAGATATCTATATTCATTACGAGCGGGCCAATATATGTACAGATATTGTAACTACAATATACTATATATTACTAACCCTTAATACCAGGGGGGAAAGGGATTGTTAGTAATGGAGACTGAGAATCCCATTGCTAGCAATATACCCAACCAGGTCGATCTCCTCGCGGTTCCCCCTGGAAACTATCATGGTTAATTACTGATGAATTCATCATGATGGGCTAACTGGCCTGTTTTCATTCTCAGCTATCACCCTTCACTGGTGCCCCGCCAGCGTATCCCGTTAGCGCAGGCGGGGTTACCATACCATTTTCACCCATCAAAAAAAACCCTTAATACCAATATCTGTTAACTACATCCTAATATCAGTATTTAGTACTTAGCCCCAACGAATTATGTATTTTTTTTAATTTTGACTTTTTTTACTATTTTAATATAAACATGTGCAAGATTATTTATTACAAATGACAAGTAACATAAAACTTTATTTATATTATCTATTTATATATATTTTGAATATCGATGTAATTAACAATCATGGAACAATAATGTTGCCATAATACTCTTTCGGGTGTAATTTAATTTAGTAAATAATTAAAACGCATAATAAAACATTAATTTGAAATTATATTTACATTATAATTAATTTTTGTGACCATAATGACTCTAAATATTTACCTTTTTTATTTATAATATTGCGTTTATTTTTTTATTAAAGAAGTAGGCATTTTATACCGTCACGTAGATAAAATGAAATTAATAAAAATGCTGTCTATGTTTTATAACTATACTTTTTTATATATGTTTATTCCTAATTTTCTTGTATTTTTTTTAATAATAGACCTTCTGAGGAACTTTTCTATTATAAAATGCCATGTTTTTACTGTAATTCCTTCTTTTTTTTCTGTCTTTATTTTTATTTATTTATTTTATTTATTTAACACTTTATTGCACCAACATAACATGATTTGTTAAAACAATTTTCAATACGTATAGTGTAGTACAAAAGGCGGTCTTATTGCTAAGCAATCTCTTCCAGACAACCTTTGGGTAGAAAGGATTAAAGCATAAGTAGGTAGGTGGTGCGTTAAAAAAGATAGATTTGTAAAAAATAATATTTGTGACAGCATAGTCATATACATATACATACATAAATAAACATTGAATAACAAAAGAGTTAGACCTATCTATGGTCATACAAATGTGTAATATAATAATTTCTTTTTCTTATTTTTAATTATCTTCAATTATTTATGAATTAACACATTTTAATGTTAATTAATTAATTATTATTCATCAATGTATCTGTACTCACCGATTTTATCATTCCTTTTTAAATGATATTATGCATATTTCACGTGTAAGTTCAGATCCGAGAGATTTTATTTTAATTGTACATTGAAATCCAGGGTTGAATACGTTCTTAAGATCTTCAAATAAGGTGCTTTAGTATTGTATGAGATTATGTTTTATTGTAACGTATCATTAATACGTAAGTATACAAGATTATAAATAAGTAAGGATATTGTAATGTTTTTTTTTTTACTGCTAAGAAAGTTCTTTTATGTGACCTTAGTAACTTGTATTTCTTTTTTATCGTAAAATAATATTTGAAAATCTACACTAGAATGTTATGATTGTGGATTTAATCCCTTTATAATGGCCCTTATGAGTATATTTGTTTTGATCTGTTTTTTTTTTTTTTTTTATTTAAAATATTGTATATATTTACAAAGTAGTATTTAAATGACAATCAATTGTGTAATATTTATAGTATAAGCTTTATTTAGTATTATTATAAGGACCATATTAGAACAAACTTACTCAGTATACTATAAATTCTCAAAGTGTGAGGTTTAAATGCCTTTAAACGAGTCCCGGGCAATTTGTATGGTATATGCATGTGTGAAATAGTAGAACTTAAAATTGGTTTTTTTTTTTTTTATTTTAAATAAAGCGAAATAAATTTTTAATGTCGAGCCTAACTCGCCCAACTTTAAAAACTACTACTACATTAGATATATCAATATTTATATTTGAAAATATAATTGTTCATTACTTATTGTTCTTGTACAAATTTCTGATTATTCTTCTAGACTTCTAGATATTTCTCTACTAAAAATAAATTCCTTTTTAATAATACGATCTACCTCTAGTTGTAATACTAAATGGAAACTAATTAAGTAACATTAGATATAAATGTTAACTCGGTGCTACGTAACTATACTAACAAATTATATTAAAATAAGTCGTAACTGACGAGCGTGTATGAAAAGATTGATGAATGTGGTAGAGGCGAAAAAGGTCTGTATGAATTCGAGCATTTGGCGTTCAATTATTTCTACTCAACCCAATAGGAGACGGGTGTGACAGATATGTATGTTTTTCTTTGATACAATTTAGAATGGCAAACAAGCTGATGGAAAGTGGTAACCGTCGCCTATAGTATGTGTGAAGACATTACAATACAACTCTTTTATACTGTTACTTTTATATTACTACAACTCGTGTGAGAGTGTCTCCCTTTAGTGTCAAAATTTTTAGTATTATTGACAAAAAAGCGATTTTAGTTTTCAATCGACTTCAAAAAGAAGGATGTTCTCGATTTTATTCTTTTTTTTTATGTTTGTTACCTCATAACTCAGTCAAGTGTAAACCGATTTGGAATAGTCTTTATTTATCGGAAAAAAAATCTCACAGAGTGGTCCCATAGAAATTTTATCAAAATCAGTTTAGTAGTTTACTTTTCAGATAAAAATAACTGTTTATATTATGTATTATTACAATTTAACTTTTTTTTTGTTCTTCGCACAATTTTTAATTGTATGGAATCATATCCTTACACTTGCAATTGTGTATGTATACTAGATTTTAAGGGTATGTTAGTAGTTTTAATTTTAAACTCCGAAGGTCTTGCTTCTTAAGGCAGGTACGCCACCTGTGCAAAATTTCTTACTCATACCTCTACGATATAAATTTAATAATTTACTTAACTTTTTACCATCATCATATGGACCTCTAACTGTTCACTGCTGGACACATGTCTCCTCCTTAGGGGGTTTTGCCAGTACTTACCACGCTTGGTAGGCGGATTGGCAACCGCATATAGGCTTTGGAGATGTTTTAAGAGGGACGCTGCTGCCCATCCCTCGCCCTCCATTAGTCGCCTCTTACGACACCCGCGGGAAAGGAAGAGATGGCCTATTTTGTTCAGGGATCACACAGCCATTTACCATGTAATGCTGAAATCGAAAACAATTGATATTAGTGATTTATATTTTAAATATTACAAACTGAGTACAAAACGGGCATTCCAAATCTACCGTTATTATTCCTTGCATTTCCTTAAATTCATCTCCTTGTCTTTAATTATTACATTACCTTTTAATAATAATGACTATTTAGTAAATAATTTTATAAAGTGCCTATATTTATTTAGATTTTTATGTATTTAGTTGATATAATGGATAATTACATGTGTTTTACTTGTTTCTATGTGTTTTTGATCTATTAATGCATATTGTATTGAATGTGTTGAATTAAAAAATTATTTACAAAATATGTCTTTTATTGGTACTTTTAGATTTGATAAGAACGATATAAAGGGTTTTATTTAGAGACCTAAATAATTTTAAAATATCATCTGTTTTTGTATCTCTCCTTAGGTTTTTTTATGCAACTTAGAATGGCAAACAAGCTGACGGCCCACCTGATGGAAAGTGGTAACAGTCGCCTATAGACATAAGCAGTAACATGGACATAACAGAGTATACTGTATAATACTGTTGGTAGAATTTTTTCATAGTAAGCAGTCTTCGTTCTGCAAAATACTATTTCAAAGTTTTGACGAGTTAAATTAAAAGTATTCCTGACATCTGAAACATTAAATAGGCTTCAAAATCGTATAGTGCTTGAGAGTATTCGCGACTCCGGTCACGTACACAACCGCTGACCAATTAAATTAACATTTCGTGACTAGATGGCGCTACTGCACGCAAAACCACAGAATACAAACTTATACAAAATCTAAATTATGTTTATCTGTGGTTAATAATTAAATAATTATATGAATACAAACATATGAAATTAACTGTTCTTATCTACACGAAATTAGTAAAAATGTGACACACTGTCAGATTGTATAAAAATTAAAAATATGGAGTATTTATCTCCTATCTACATTTGTTTTAAATGTCTAAAATAAAACGTACAATCAACAGTGACATCTGTTAGGATATTATTATTGCTTTCGTATAATGTAGCTATTATTGTGCTTATTGTATGAATTTCAATAGAGTTAAATCGTCACATCAAAGAATAGAGTGCACCACTAATATCCGCTAGTTCTTTGAAAAATTTTTGTGTTGTTATATAAAAAAAAAGTAAATAAACATGAATCTAATTCCCATTTGAAGAGCTGTGATCTTCCACTTTTTTTTTTTATACCACGAAGGTGGTAAATAACCATACAGCCCATCAGATGGTTTTTTTCTTCGAACTGTATGTACATGTTATTGGCCGCAGATGGCCTTGACAACTTCACCGGGCGCGTATGTAGGGGTGAGTGTGGATGGCATTCCAAGGCCACGGGAGGGGGGCGACAGAGTTTTTTTACCACTAAGATGGCAACTCTTCTGACACTGAGTATCGACTCTTACCGATGGACTGCTCTGATGCTAAACGGCCACTGTAGCCTATGGACGTCTGCAACACTAGGAGTGTCACATGCACGTTGCCGACCCTGAAGAAACCTGAGTATATCCTTTTTGAAAACTCACTATAGGAGAGCTCAAGTCTAATAAAATAATATTAAAGAATGGTGGCATATCCCAATACGCCCCCCTCCCCCGCAGCCGTATACAAAGATATTAAATTTATTTAATAAAATATATTAATGTATTTCGCTTCATTTCTTCACTTTTATGAGATTTAGTGAGATGTATCTCACATTACAGTAAGACAGAGGGCAGGAGTGTTCATGTTTAAAAAAAAACATCAATAAATCGCTAATGGGAAGGGGCGTATCCTAATAAGTACCTAGGTACTTCTGCTACCAAATACCTACAGCTTTTATAGTACAAATTAATATTATGAGATTTTTTTATTGGGTGATAATGGAATGGTAACCCCGCCCGCGCTATCGGTATACTCTGGTAGGGCACCAGTGAGGGATGATTGGTAAGGATAAAAAGGCAGGTCAGTTAGCCCATTGTGATGAATTCAACTACAAATTAGTCAAGATGGTTTCCAGGGGGAACCGCGTGGAGGTCGACCTGATAGGGTATATAGATAGCAATGGGGAATAACCTCCCCATTACTAACAACCCCTTTCCCCCATATTATGAGATCAGCAGTGATCATACCGAAGTGTGATAACGTTAGTACTATCTCTCAATTAAGAAAAACAATTGTACAATGTATCTATACTTTATTGTACATAAAAATTACATTGTAATAATTTATTTTAAATAAAAATGTACCTACAACAGGCAAACTAAACTCTATAGGGGGGAAAAGGGATTGTTAGCAATGGAGTTTGACAGCCCCATTGCTAGCAATATGCCTTATTAGGTCGACCTCCACGTGGTTCCCCCTGGAAACTATCGTGAACAAATCTTTTTGAATTCGTCACAATGGGCTAACTGACCTACTGAAGTAGGTCAGTCCTCACCTATCATCCTTCACTGGTGCCCCGCCGGTGTATACAGATAGCGCGGGTGGGGTTACCATTCCATTATCATCCATTAAAAAAAAATAAACTCTATAAAAGTCTCTTTCCAACAAATCCTGAGTAGAAAGGGGCATTAATTACTATTTATTTATCAATATTAAATTTATACAAGTGCTCTGACAACTAACTAAAACGTTAATCCTATCTACTTATATTATGAATGTCAGTTTGTAAACATGTTTGTTAAATGCTTGAACGGCTGAAAAGATTTAAATGAAATTTTGCTACATGAATAGGGTATATCCTAATTTAAGTCATGGAATACAGTAAATACTAAATCAAGCGAGCTAAGCCGCGGGATACAGCTAGTCATAGGATAAGTCTATTTTTTTATGGGTGTAAATGGCATAGTAACCCCGCCTGCGCTATCAGTATACGCAGACAAGGCACCAGTAATAGACCCCTTTCCCCCCTCTATACAATTTTGGAGCCTGTTGAATATTCCAGACCAGAGGTTTATTATTATTTAGGTCTCCTAAGTAAAATATTGTTAATAAAGTAGACTACCAGTAACATTGCTAACAATACACCCTGTCAGGTCGACCTCCACGTGGTTCCTCCTTGAAACCATCGTGCTGGATTCCAGGTGTATTCATCACGATAGGCTAACTGACCTGCCTGTTCATTTTCCCCTATCATCCCTAACTGGTACCCCGCAAGCGTATACTGTTATCACAGGCGGGGTTATCATTCCATTATCATCCATTAAAAAAAACCATTTCATTATCATTGAAAAAAAAAATAAGATACGTTTATTGGCATGTGTATGATAAAGCTTTGATTTAGTTCCATTTTTATTTACATTATAATGTCGGGAGGTACCTATCTATCTGTTAGGTATAGTGTGCTTTGTCGCTTTCTTTCAAATTATTCATTTATCATAAAAGAAAGAGATGGACTATCTCGATTGGAAATAAGTTGACAGTAAATAGGCATTACATTATTACATATCTATAGTAAATATTAAATAAGCAGGAAATAATATTTCCAAGTCATTTCGTTGAAATCCAGTTCTCTTGGGGGGAAAGGGATTGTTAGCTTTGGAGTTTAACAGCCCCATTGCTAGCAATATGCCCTATTAGGTCAACCTCCACGTGATTCCCCGTGGAAACCATCGTGAACAAGTCTTGTTGAATTCGTCACGATGGGCTAACTGACCTGCTTCATCCTCACCTATCATCCCTCATTGGTGCCCCGCCGGTGTATACCGATAACGTGGGTGAGGTTACCATTCCATTATCATCCATTAAAAAAAATCCAGTTCTCTTAATCATAAAAACATTACATCTGCCATAAACGTTTTTTTAACAATTAAAGTAGTTTGTCTCTTTCTTTTATGCTAAATTCTCAATTTGAATGAAAGTGACAAAATGGTGTAATAGGTAAAGTATGGTGTTATAGGAGTTTTAAGTTTTTATGAATAAGGGGGTAAGTAGGTACATTTATTTGTTTTTTACTCACAAAGCCAGTTAGATTAGCTAGTCAGAATAAAATCTAGTTAGAATAGTACCTAGGTAATACCATCAATTAAACCAATCTAAATAGATATCTGAAAAAAAAATATGTATACAATTCTGTCCCCCCCCCCCCAAGCCAGGTGTCATTACGATGGGTTGATTGCCCTGCCTTTTCATTCTTACCTATCATCCCTCACTGGTGCCCCATACCATTATTACACCAATCTAAGTAAATATGTAAAAAAAAAATGGAATTATTTATAGGTATATGTACACAATACTACCCACTACCCTCCCCCCCTCACTCTATTTCAGGTGACACAACGATAGGTTAACTGACCTGCCTTTTCATCCTCCCCTATTATCTCTCACTGGTGCCCCACCAGCGTATACCGATAGCGCAGGCGGGGTTGCCAGTCCATTATCATCCATTAAAGAAATAATAATATAATCTATTTCTAATACGTATTAATTAAATAAAAATTAAGTAGGTATAGAGACTTGCTTAATTGGGCATTAGTTACTTAACAAAAAACTCTAATTAAGTCTAATTAATTGATGACTAAAAATAGGTAACCTAAAGATATGAGCCAATACAAAGTTGACAATATGATACACCTTAATTTGATTTACAAACTATAATAAATTACTGAACCGATTTTGATAAAATTTCTATGATACCCATCTGTAAGTATATTCTTTCAGATAAAAAAAGTAATTTCCAAATCCGTTTAAACCTGACAGAGTTTGAAGGCGACAAAAATAAAAAAAAATACAACATAATTGAGAACCTCCTTATTTTGAAGTCGGTCCAAAACATATTTTAATTGTAGATTTGGGACTAATTATATTATATACCTATTTATCTTTCTAAACTTTATGTATTTGTTTGTCGTTGATAAGTGCTTGTGATAATAATGCATGTGGATGTGTGCGTGTGCAGCGTGTATGGTCATTACGCTGCATTATTTGTTACGTTTAGGGCTGGGATGGGCCCGTCCCTATCGCTGTGGTCCTACGCTCCCTTCTTTCGTGGATATTTGAATAGGCTCGCGCGTTGCGTAACTCGCGGCCAATGACAGCGGCAGCATCGCCCCTGCACATGCACGGGGCGGAGTCGTTACGTCACCGCGCACTGCCCCCGCTGTCGCGCAGCCGCCGTGACGTCACACCCCGTCTCGCCCCGCGCCGTCAGCGCGCGACCCCAGCGCCCATGCTGCCCGTGGCGGCGCGAGGAAACTTTCTACAAAACACTCGTGCGCTCAAAGATGGCGGATGGGTCGCCCGAGAACTGTGCCGACCCGAAACAAATGAACGATTTAACTTTTTCCGCGCCCGATCCGGTACATAGTGACACAAAAAAGTGCAGTGGGGAAACGTTAAATGACGATAAAGTGAAGTTATCTTTCTACACCGAACTAGAAACGAGTGAATCGTGTGAGAAAAGTGATACGCGCGGCGTGGCCGCCAATTGTACGGCAGCGGTAATCACTACAAACACCCGAAAATCTTGCGACGCTAACATTGAAGACGGCGAAGACAGGAAGAAGCGATGCTTCGACAGATACGACAGCTCCGAATCATCTGACAGGTGAGTGGATGTACTTTTCTGTTAGTAAATGAGCGAAATTTGGATTTTAATATCAGCTAAAGCGTTCGCGGCGTCGAAGAATAAGTCAATGCTCCAGTAACCGGAGGCTGTTCTGTTTTCGATGTCATGGTCATTGTCTAAAATGCTGGTGTTGCTAGGCCGTGGTACGGTTGAATGCCCTCTGAACAGTTTGCTAGGCCGCGAGCACGAGACTCGAGCCGCGAGGCGGCATTATTTGTTAACTAATCGCGGCGAATCGTGCTCGTAATAATGATGACAATTTGTGGCTACTTTTTCGATACTATTTACTTTATCATTAGCGATACCGTATTAAAAATAGTTCAAACGGAAACATAATCACATGTTTAATTAATAACCATTTATTTTAACGTATTGAAAACGATAGAGACAGTAGAAGATATTTTATAAGAACACGCAGGTACCTATCTATTCTAGGAAATTCATTACAGTATCTAGATAGATAGTGTATAGGTGTACATAACTTACAAATTCAGTTACAAGATTGGTTACTTTCTCCTTGCTTTCTAATCGTAATTATTGCGATAATAATCACTTCTATTTTATACTTAATACCTTTCAGTGTTCAGTGTATTGTATAGATATTAGATATTACAATAATAAAATTCCTATCTGAGTTTTTATATTCTGAACCTTGATTTTTTTTATGGATAATAGTAAAATGATAATAAGAAATAAGTCTTTTGTTGCAAACAGAGTAAACTAGATTTTTCTATACATGGTAATGGATTGATAAACAAGAATACCAGGCCTATTGCTAGGAATGTATCCTGTCAGGTCAAACTCCATATGGAGTTGACTTGACATATCCTATATTATGTTTGAAATCACTTAATTTCTCCTAGAAACTAATTGTGGTTAAATCATGTTGAATTCATCACAAGGGGTAACTGACCCAACTACATAACCCAGGTAACAACCTATACCTCCCTCACTGGTACCTCACTAGTATAGGTGGGATATCATTCCATGTATATAGATTTAATAAAAAAAAAATTGTGTGGCACTTATAAAAAAAAATCAAATAATCTCTGTAACCAAAATCTTTGATTGTGCCACATAAATTACTTATGAGTAAGGGAGATTCCTAAGTAATGATCACTATTCAAAGTGGAACAACCTCCCTTATAATAAAGTTCTGTAAACATTTTAAATACTGTATCATGCGACTCAAGAAATTTCTGTTTTATTATGTATGTATGTATATATGATTTGTGTACCAAGTTGCACCAATAATAGAAGTAATAAGTTATGAAGCAATACATTATCTTGTTATTATCATATCATGTATAGAAATGAAAGCAATGTTTAAAAATAAAATGTTAGTATGAAAGTAGATGGATGTACAGGAAGAAAACGACTAAAGAAAAGGTGGATGGATTGCTGAAAGATGATATGCATAAAAGAGGAATGACTCTGGAAATGATAGTTGACAGAGATTAGTGGAAGGAGAAGACATACTGCGCTGACCCCAAATAAATGGGAAAAGACAAGGCAATAATGTTATGGTTTGTGCATATGGTACAATAGTTGAAAATAGAATGCTTACTCCACCTGCGCTATTGTATATACTGGGAAGGCACCATAGTGAGGATAAGGATGAATACTAATGCAAAGTACTCAATCCATTGTGATGAATTCAACAAGAATTAACCATGATGGTGAACTTGGATGAATGTTGACCTGATATTACTAGAAATAGGGTTTTTATACCCCATTACTAACAATCCTTTTTTCCATCCATGTTACATATAGTTTGTACAGTCAATCAAATAAAACAATACTAAAGCCCTATCACAATTATATAATAAAAAAGAAATACTGTAATGAGAAACAAGTTCAAAGTCTTCAGGAATAACTATAAATAATTGTACTGTAGAAAATCACAGTGTATTCTGTGATATTTATGTTTCTAGAAGACAGTTACCACTTTCCATAACACATTATGTGCGGTGTGAAGCGAGATATATGTAGCAAGAAATATATATACACATAATGAAGACTTTATTTACCCCCTAAGGAACCTAGTGTACTATTAGATAATAGAATTTGTTTTTTTTTAATTGTCTAGGTTATCTTAACAATTATTATCAGTTAAAGTCAACAACTTAAAACTGTATTTTCTTATGTTATTCATTATTTTACCAGTAGTAGGTAACTAGGTATATCCTTACATGATATGAATAGAATAAATATGCTTATGGTTATAAGTCCTAATGGGATAAACAGAAGCATTTCTAAACTGTTTCTGTAGTGGTTAATTTAACATCTTACAATTTCTAATCCTCCCTTTTTTTCTTTAGTATTATTGAAGTAACTATAGCTTATAATACAACTATTTTAAATTTTTATTTGGCTTCATTACTTGGCCACTTAAAAACGGGGGAGGGATTGTTAGTAATATGGACTACTAGTCCCATTGTTAGCAATATACCCTGCCAGGTCGACCTCCACATGGTTCTCCCTGGAAATCATCGTGCTGAATTCCAGGTGTATAAATCATGATGAGCTAACTGACCTGTCTTATCATTCTTACTTATTATCACTCATACCGTTAAGTCAGGAGGGGTTACCATCCTTATCATCATTAAAAAAAAAAACTTAAAAACAGGTGTATTTATGTTTCGATTGAATAAGTCGAGTGAATCATGAGACACAGCTTGATCCCTCCTTTGTATGTACTCACATAAATTGTAGAGATTTTTGTTAATTGGATGGTCAATAGAAAAATATCCATGCAGTAATTTTTACATAAAACCTGCGTGGACATACAGACAGACAAATACTAAAAATCATTGATTTTCCTTTATTGTTTTTTAAGCTTCTCTCAATTTTTTTTATATAGCATTAAGATATATGACTACACGATCTTGAACGAACACAGAGACGTTATGATCCATGAATACGATCAATCGAAAAGAGAATAATTTTCCTCTCAACGGTTGGCCGCACTATGCCGGCTCCCTAAATGCTTTTTCACGCTACGTTTGAAGGATCCGAGGTTGTAGTTTGTAGGATGAAGGGAATATGCCCCAGGATTTTGTCTCCTATTTAACAGGTGTCGTTTATTTAAAATTTGATTATGTTAATATCAACTACCGCTAAGACAAAGTCTCGGACGTAGCTGATTTGAAATTTTTGAAGGGAATACTGTTGGCCAGTTGTTTGTCCTGGCTTTATGATATGTTATTATATCATAAAGCCAGGATACAGATAATGACGATGTCCTCAAGTGGACAAATGTAGGTCATCCGATCTTGACCGATAACATGACTGCCACATATATGTGCTCATGTCCAACTGAGGTGTGGTGAGGTGGACATTAGGGTTGCCAAACTTCTTGTTTGTCCTAGGACAAGTCCTCTGTTCCAAATCGTTGAAAGTATCACGTAACATACACGAAAAAAAAAATTAACCGACTAAATGAGAAGTCAATTTCTTACTTTTGGGAACGAGAGAATTGTTATTAATGGGGACTAGCAGCTCTATTGTTAGTATTATCATGACCAAGGGGGCGGCTTATTATTTATTTGGGAAAACTAACAGTGCCTTATGTTTTTTTTTTAATGGATGATAATGGAATGGTTACTCCGCCTGCGCTAACGGCATACGCTGGCGGGGCACCAGTGAGGGATGATAGGTGAGAATGAAAAAAAGGCAGGTCAGTTAGCCCATCGTGACAAATACACTAGGAATTCAGCACGATGGTTTCCAGGGGGGACCACAGGGAAGTCGACCTGGTTGGACATATTGCTAGCAAATGGAGCTCTTAGTCAGTTAGTTATCATTACTAACAATACCTTCCCTAGTTAGTTAGACTGAAATGAATATACCCTATTAGATCGCCCTCCACGTGATAAAACTAAACCATTATGGTGAGTTCTTGTGGAATCCGACATGATGGGCTAACTGATTTGCTTTCATCCTCACCTATCATCTCCCACTAACCTGTCAGCTGGGGGAGAAAGGGATTGTTAGTAATTTTAATTAATTGTTAAAATTAGGAGACTGAGAACCCCATTGCTAGCAATATACCCAACCAGGTCGACCTCCTCGCGGTTCTCCCTGGAAACTATCATGGTTAATTCCTGATGAATTTATCATGATGGGCTAACTGGTCTGTTTTCATTCTCATCTATCACCCTTCACTGGTGCTCCGCCAGCGTATCCCGTTAGCGTAGGCGAGGGTACCATACCATTTTCACCAATAAAAAAAAACCCTAGCTATACCGATAGCGCAGTCACCATTCTATCGTCACCCAATAAAACAAAACCATTTCATTATAAAAATAGTCAGCCAACTTTTGGAAATCGTTTAAATAAAAATAAATTTTCCATTATATATTATAATTTTCACTACTTTTTAGATAAAGTTATTCACTTTTATAAATGCTGGATATCTTTTCAGTTAACCCTGTATAATACAAACAAGAATAAAGTTTACTGGCGTACAATTATTTGTTAGCCTTATCTAGGGTTCAAATCAAACAAATTGATAACAAACCACTTAAAAGGCTGATGTCACCAGTTCGCAAATTGTACATATTGTGTATAACATAGTACTTAACAAAATGCGTTGGGTATTTATTGTTTTAAATTAGACAGTGTACTAAATAAGACTATAGTTCTCAGTCCAAAGAGCTACCACGTAGGGGTGGGTAATAAAATACCAATATCTATATCAGGAATGGCAACGCATGGGCGAAACAATATACTCTGTTATGTCCATGGTACTTACTGCTCATGTCTATAGGCGACGGTTACCACTTTCCATCAGGTGGGCCGTCAGCTTGTTTGCCATTCTAGGTTGTATAAAAAAAAATTCTATATATTTTAGTTACAATATCTATGTACTGATCCAATAACGAACATGTTTTTTTTTTTGTTGGATGAAAATGGATTGATAATTCTGCTTGCGCTAACGGGATACGCTGGCGGAGCACCAGTGAAGGGTGATCGAT